AAAAAATTATGACACTGATCTTGTAAGTGTAACATGAATTTGTTGTTTTTCCTCCGTATCATTTTTTACAAATTTACGTAAACGATGGTAAGTTTAGTTCATATTCATGTCCCAAAATATTGTGTGGATAAAATAAAATAAAACATGCATGTGCATAATACATTTCACTCATTTCCTCCCCACGAAACCATGGTCGTGCCTACGATGAGGCGAAGAATCCCATAAAAGAGAAAGCTGCTCCTAAACAACCTTCTCAACTTTCCTTTTGTATATCTCTCCCCAAAAAACGGCGTGGCTGGTTTAGCTTAGCCCCGTCTCCAGAATGCTAAACAATGGGTCGGCATAAATAAGGAAAGTGGTGGGAGAAAGGCAGCGAGAGAAAGCTGGGAGAGAAAAACAATGGCGAAAAGAAGAGGAACAAAACCTCGGATGAAATTCATAAAGGAAACGAAAACACAATAATAATCCTCCAAAGTCGAGTTTATCGTTATCTCTGCCGCATTTCGGTGGCTTTTGGGTGGAGGAAGAGAAACATTGAATAAATACTTTATGGAGGGTGTTCACGCTAGGCTTGTAAACTCTGCAAAAAATGTGGAATTAGTTGTTTGTAGCCGAATGGAGACAAAAATTTCTGCGAGTTTCCCACACAGACGGTTAATTGGGGTAGATAAGCCAAATCAAATTAACTAATTAATAAGTTGCAATTTCCCAAAATATAACCGAAGTCCATGTGCAAAAATGTATTTTGCGCAATTCGATAATCTGAGAACAAAATCATGTTACAAATCGTTGTCGATTTCCATTCGATTTGATTCCATTTAATACTGTGGTACTGACTAGGGCTGAAAAATCCGGATACTCCGAATTCGAAAAATCCGGATTTTTCGGATTTCGGATACTTCGAAATCCGGATTTCATTTAGAGACGAATCCGGATTTCCATACTTAAAGATTCATATTTATTTACGATGTAAAGATACAAATCTTTGCGAGAAGTGTGAATTTAATAAAAATTAGCAATCTATTCATTCCAAATATAGTTTATTTATCATATCCGACATCAAACTCACTTTTTTGAAATTCAACATTTTTTCAGTTCATGAACTGAGAAAAATGCCCAAAAATTACCCGCATCGTCGCAAAATTTTCAGAAATATTGGAACTTCTAAAAAACCTGAGATTGCAATTGAATTTAATAATTCTACTATCTGACATCTGTCTGATTCGTTCAAATATCAAGGAAATAAATAATAACAATAAATAAATCAAATCCGGATGTAAATCCGGATTTGGGTCCCAAGAAAAACGGAAAATCCGGATTTGAAACGGATTTGAAAATTCTGAACGGATTTGTCAGCCCTAGTACTGACGTGAAACATGAGACACCTGTCCTTTCCTACACGCCGACTTAAATTTTCTCATAACTAACTAAATTTGCGCATTTGTGAAGTTTTATAATTGACGTGTATGTATCTCAAAAATTATTTTAAATAAATTTTTCAATTGCAGGCTTAAAATTGTATGTGTTGCTTCATGAATGGTCCAAAATTAGAGTTCAAAATTTACAAACAATATTTTATCAAGCAGCTGTAGTTCATTAAATTGATTTGACCAATATTTGAATAAATTTCAAATTAAATTTTTGTCAAGGTAATCATTTGTCTTGTTCGTTTGGTAATGTTTACCAAAATTAAATTATTTGCCGAAATAAGTCTTCTTCTAATCCTAACCGTTCTAATCCGTCTAATCTAAGTTTTACAAAATTCCATAAAAATCAACTAATTTTCGTAATTCTGTCAAAAATTCTAAACTTTTAGCCCGTGATGGTTTGCCGTTTCGAATTCGGGAAAAATTTATTTAGTCTCATATTCTCTTTACGCACTCTGCCTCTTTTTCATGACGCCATGAAATTCAAGATACGCGAAAAACCAGGAGAAAACGAACCACGACTAAACAACTGACAGGACGAGACGCATCACAATTCTGTCTCTTGCAACATTCCATTCCTGCTTTCAACAACTTTCTCCGCACTCACGCGAACCGCAAAGTGAGAGCGTGTAAAGAGTGGGAGAAAACGTAGTAAACATCTTTCTTTGAGAGTGACGTGACACTTTGTGAGTTTTGTGGTTGCTGTGCTCATCTGTCTGCACCATTGTTGTGGTGTCTCTTGTAGTGCTTAATAATCCTCTTAAAGAGTGAAAGTCGGTGTGAAGATGGAATTCGTCGTCGTAGCACTACTTTCACTCTCCACTTTGGTCTCCGTCCTCATTTGGGAGCGACAAGCATAAACAAACACGTCGACACGAGGATAAAGTGTATTCTTGTGTGGTGTGATCATGTGAAATGATATCGGTTTTACGGGGTTGAGAAAAGTTATGACAATTTGAATATTTTTGATAACACGGAAATAGAGTTAAAGAAAATAAAAATTTCTTAAAAACGAAATTCTTTGTAATTGTTTGCAACCATTGGAATACCACAATCAAGGGATCTTACTTTTAACATTTTAATTATTATTTGCTAAATAATTATCTACGGCTTTGAGCTGTTCAAAATATATTTGACGATGGAAGTAAAGTCAAATAAATCATTTATATAATATAATGACTCGATAACTAATTACCAAACTCGTTCAAATCAACACGTTTTTAATGGTTTCTTAGCTATGGAAATTTAGTTTAAAATTCTAAGCAATTTAATGATATTTGATAAAAAATTAAACTCTTATTTTCAATGTGCAGATGTAGTTAGCTTGCAAAATCTTACCTTGACAAAGAGTCAGCTCGAGAAAGAGAAGCGTTCCACAAAAAATATTCTTCCCCAGGTTTGAGTTGTGCTTGAAATTTCGAATCAACCGTTTTGTATCGGATTCCACTTTCACTTCGAGCGTTGGTTTCACCATTTAACTCGCTAATTTTTATACGTCTTCTTGTAGTTTAAAGTTAAGATAAAATTACATTTCAGTAATATCATTGATAAACTACACAACGGAATAATTCATAAATAGAATAATATTTGGTATTTATGACGCACTTGATGATCCGATAAAAAACTATGTAGTAGTTTTCCTGAATTTTTTCGTCGCTATTTTATTTAGTGAATGTGAAGCAGTCGAATCTGCTCGAAACATAGAGAACAATATTTATTTTAGCGAAGCTAGCACCATTTAATTTAGTTTAACTTGAAATTAATTAAGAATTAGTATTAAACAGATGTTGCCTCCATAAAATCAAAATTCACTCATAAAATATAGCCAAGTCAAGCAATTCGAATTCAAAATTATGAAAAATGCCCACGATTACCGATTTGTATATTGATATGGATTCTACTAGGTTTTTAATTATACAGCAACTACGTTTTTAATTATACAGCAACTCGATAATTAAAATATATTGAAGCAGATTCGTGTAGGTTCTAGAAGAGATGAGTAACATTTGTCATGAGAAAATAGTAAATTATGTACGTGCTCAATTATTAAATTTTTGAAAACAATTTAAATTTATTTTTATGAATTCCAGTTAATAGCAGGGTGCCCCATGGTAAAAAAATAAATAACTTCAATATTCATATAACACACTTTTCAGAATTTATATTCAGCTCACTTATTCACAAGGTCAGGCACTGCTCAGTTAAAAAAACCCTGTGCACATTGATTTAAATGCTAGACACAATTTGTGATTGGATTTCGCATTGTTTTGAATTTTTACGAGAAAGTGGAATTCTTCTAAGAATTTGGGATGACACAAAAGCTCAATTGATACTTCGAGGGGTGAGATTTCCGTTATCTAAGGGAGAGTAAAGTTCAACTGGGATGACCAGATTGAGACGAATTGTTAGCCGTCGAGTGAGTGAAAGCAGACTGACCACGAGCCGACAACTTTCTCCATGTTTTTTACCATCCATCCACCTCAAAGATTCCAACTAAACTGGAGGTGTCGTATCATATCGTCACGATTGTTCTTCTTTATTCTAATTAGGACACTGATTTATATGGTTTTAAGATTTCTTCATCGTAGGCTTCTTTTAATTTTAATTTTCGATAACGTAGAAACCAGTGAAACTCTATTTTCTAGGTAACTTGGTGAAGCATAAGTGTAAGTTTGGCTGAAAGTGGAGATTTCAGATTTCGTGAGGTTGCGGAGGCCGAGAGCGAGAAGTGCGAGTTGTTTCGCGTCGAGCGAGTGAAGGCAGACTGAGCACGTGCTGGAAACTTTCCCCACTTTTTACGCCATGCACCCGACAAAACTGCCCGGTTTCGGGTCTGACTAAGGTGAAGGTCGTCTGAAGAGTCTGGCTCATTGCTCCCTCAGCTGAAGTGGTTAGTCTTGAAGCACGCGCTGGGATAAAATAGTGACAATTAAGACGAAAACTGAGAATAAGTATGTAAAACTAACGTCCCTTTAGATACACCATAAATATGTAAATTTCCATTACGTATACGACCTCTGAGCACTTTACATAAACATTTATTGCGAATTGAGTGTAATCTTGTGTGTATAGACTACTAAGATAAACACAATCTGATTAGATTGATGTTCCTTAGTTTTTGGAAATCTGTGCAAAATTTATTTGCAAATTTGCTAAATTTCTGCAAGAGAAGAGACGTCATGTGAAATTTGGTTGGGTTACTTTGTGTCGGATTTGTGTCATCATCCCCACACAATGAAGCAGTCTTGTCTAACTCTGAGGCAAGTTGAGACATCGTACGTAAATGGAATTACTCGATCGGGGTAACGTAACACAATTTATTTCTCACGGTCACAAATTCACACTTTGTAATTGAAACTTTGTTGATCAGCAGACATGCAAAATTATTTTGAAGCTGACTTTAAGGTCGAGGCGAATTGAGACGTTTACATAAGTAAACACATGAAAAATTGAGATAATCTCACTTTCCCAATGACATGACACGGTCACTCCATTTCAATCCACAAGTATGACTGTCATCAGAAAAGTGGGGACTTCCACTTCCGAAATAATAACACAGTTGTAACATTTTGGTTGCATATTTAAGGTTCGAATGATCTTTTAATAAATTTTATTTTCACACGTAAAAATTATACAAAACGTGAGATAACCGTGCATCTCATCCGTTAACAGCATATGTATAGTTTTTTTTAAGTATCTATCATAATTTGGAACGATATTTTTTATAAATTTTGATAATCACATTTCACATTTCATGAATAGACTCCTTCATAAAACGTTGTATATAAAACTTTATATAAATTTCATAATTTGTTTGATTCATAATTTCATATTTTTTTCATTTCTAAGTTTCAAAATTTCGAATATAGGGATACATAATTATAACTAACTTTAAGCTCCTCTTCCCACATCATCATAAACTTTTATTGTAGAATGAATGTACTTTCTCCCGCGGCCTAGTGCCCCAACTAATCGTGTCAAACATCGATATGGAAGCCTCCCTTATTTTTACTTCGACTTTGCCTTTGTTGTTTCCCCTGATTTCGCTTCATTGACAACCCTTTCGCTCCAGAAGCGTCGTCATTTCTGTGAAGAAGCTGATCCTCCGCGTCGGATAACTTTGGGGGCGGTTGTGCCGTCGTGGTGAAAGAAGTCTCCTCCGTGTGCGAGGAGTACCCAGAGCTGGACCGGACGCGCAGGATGATTTGTCCGCCGCCCCCACTGTTTGAAGATCCAGAGGTGGACTTTTTACTACTTTTGTGACGGTGGTGGTGGGGGCGCCCCGCGCAGTAAGAGGCGCGGCCACCTTTCGCCGAGGGTCGACCCGTGGTGGGAGATGATTCCTCGTCCAGGGAGGAAGAGGAAGACTCCATTTCTTCCGAGGTGGGGATGCGATCTGGGGAGAGGGGGAAGAATTTGCATAAATAAATGTTTTGTCCATATGTATAAATATTACCGCTATTATTTGAAAAATACGTGTTTTTTAATATTTTGTTCACAAATGCAAATATTAAACCCGTAAGAGGCGATTTTGTTTAGCTCCAACAAATTTGACCACAATATATCCACAGTATTAAATTTCAAAGTACAAATTTTTCGAAAATTATTGTTTTGTGTTTTATTCATATATTTGGTAAATAAACCGTCGTAAACGCACATAAGGAAGTAGCTTCAGACTACTTCACCCCAACCACTCCCACGACATCTGGGGAACACTCAATTTCACTCTATTTAATCCATAGATTCAATTTTTGAAAAATCTCATTTTGCCCCGACCACACCCCCTGGCGCCAAGAGGGGTGGTCCCAGTGGCCCCAAAAGTTGATAGGATCCTCCCCCGGTCCCATGTATAATGTCGAGAACCGATTTCGATTATCTTGATCCGTTCTCCCGTTATCCTGCTGACGGACAGACGGACAGACGGACAGGCGGGCAAAGTCTTCACATAAAGTAGCTGAAGCTACTTAATAATTTGTGCTTTCTGCGTAAATATTAAACATACATATATCTCCATTTTTTGGTATGCATATTCATCCTATTTTAATATTTTCCAAAGTGTGTAATGTAATAAAATATATGATAATAATCTGATGGAAGTTGATGCCGAACATTTATTTTTAAGTTGAAAATATATTAAAACATGAGTAGATTTCGTTCGGATATTAATGGTTTATTTTTTAGAGTGATAAGGGATCTTTGATTAACTTGATTTCAACTAATTTCTCATTTTCGCAAAAAATTTCTGAACTTCTTCAATTCTTCAATTGAATTGACAATTTCTGAAAGTTTGTAATTGCTAACATTTGTGTGCAAAAAGGCAGCTTTTTCTATTTCTTCGTGTCGTTTTGTCTTTTTATTGACACGTCAAGTTAGTTGAGTACTTTTCCCTAGATATTTTCAGGGTTGTTTCTACATCATTATCAGCTTAATTAATCAAATTTTGGGCTAAAGATCATATTTGCGAAAAGTATAAGAAACGCAATGAATAAGTTTCAGCTTAATATTATCTCAGGGTTTTCGTCTCATCTCGCCCCAATTAGCAAAACGGCAAACAGGCACCGGTTTTTGTGGGGAAAAAAGGCAAAGAGGCAGGCAAAAAGGCACTGCCTTCCTTTTTGCACTGCACACACTGACGTTTATGCCTATGAAAGTCCGTTCCTCGGAAATTTTAGAAGTACACAACTAAATTTAATTTAGGCAATTCACGTAGTCCTTGGTTATTTGTAAAGTCCGTGCGTTTTGTAAAACAATTTTACAAACTTTGACAAAATAAAGGGGCACCCTTGATCTGAGCAAGTTTACAAAAATTTGGAAGTTAATGTTCCTAAGAAACATTTGTAAATTTTTGTAAGAACATTGAAGCTCATCGAATTTTCGGATGTTACAAGGTTACCAAGCCCTGCGTGAATTGCCTCATTTCAGTATTCAAAGGCTGTAAAAATGATTATGCGATTGTACCTACGTATTAGGCGACCTTTGTTACATTACATCTTAAACCTTAATTTTTTTTACCTTGTCCGTTTCGGCGTCTAAATGTGCCAACATGTTGTTTTTGATATTGTTGCTGTTGCAAAATGATTTGTCGTTGCTGTTGCGAAGAAGCGTAATCGTTGTGGAAGTGGGAGGAGAATTGGTTGTGGGGGTGGTGATATTTTGGCGAAATTTCGCCATCATTTGCGCCGGTGTCGTCGTACTCGAGTGGGGGCATGTGCATGGCCAGAATTTTGGTAACCTCGGCGTCCTCCTCGTCACCAACAACTTTGGTTAATCGACCAGACTTCATGTATTCGGTGTCCTGTGGAAGTTACCAATTATTTCTCAATTATCCAAATTTTAAAGTTTAAATCAGAACTTTGTAAATAGATATGAATAGGGATGGTAATCCGTATCCTAAATTAACCGATCCGTAGGATAGGATCGGATAAATACAGGATCGGATCGGATCGGATTTGCTCGCTTTAGGATCGGATCGGCTCCCGGTTCTACTCGAAATCCGATGCGATCCGATCCTAGGATATCCGCGGATGATATGTGTGAGACACCTTGTGTCTAACTATGGAAATACTTTACCAGCTGCTTTTCTTTATTTATTGGAACGGTTTTTGGTGAGTTCATCACATGGCGTACATTACCCGAATGAGCCGAATTATCCTATTATTTTACACCAGTTATTTTTATTTTGGCGTTCAAATTATTCAATTTAGTATGATTTCAACGCCAAAATAAAAATAAACCGTCGCAAACGCGCATACGGAAGTAGCTTCAGACGTACTTCACCCCAAACGGTCCCACCACAACTCGGGAACACTTAATTTCACTCTATTTCACCTATAGATTAATTTTTTGTAAAAATCTCATTTTGCCCCGACCACACCCCCTGGCGACGAGGGGGTGTGGAACAACTCGGGAACACTTAATTTCACTCTATTTCATCTATAGATTAATTTTTTGTAAAAATCTCATTTTGCCCCAACCACACCCCTGGCGCCTAGGGGGTGTGGCACAACTCCGGAACACATAATTTTACTCTATTTCACCTACAGATTAAATTGCACTAAAAATCTCATTTTGCCCCAACCACACCCGCTGGCGCCGAAGGGGTGCGGCAAAATCGGGGAAACACTCAATTTCACTTAATTTCACTTAATTTCATTTAATTTCACTCAATTTCACTTAATTTTACCCATAGAATAAATTGCACTAAAAATCTCATTTTGCCCCAACCACACCCCCTGGGGCCGAGGGGGTGTGGCACAATCGGGGAAGCACTTAATTTCACTTAATTTCACTTAATTTCATTTAATTTCACTCAATTTCACCTAATTTTACCCATAGATTAAATTGCACTAAAAATCTCATTTTGCCCCGACCACACCCCCTGTCGCCAAAGGGGGTGTGGTCCGGTTGCCCCCAAAAGTTGATAGGATCCTCCCCCTGGGGTCCTATGTATGATGGCGAAAACCGATTTCGATTATCTCGATCCGTTCTCCTGATATCCTGCTGACAGACAGACGGACAGACAGACAGACAGACAGACAGACAGACAGACAAAGTCTTCACATAAAGTAGCTGAAGCTACTTAATAATTGGTGTAGAATAATAACATAATTCGGCTCGTTCGGGTAATGTACGCCATGTGATGAACTCACCAAATGTGAAACGAGTTTACATCGGATGATCCGAGGATCCTGTGTGATCCTAGGATCTCATCGGTTAGGATCGGATCGGATTGTCTGATCCTCGGATCCTCTATCCGATCCGTGTGAAAATCCGATCCTATCCGAGTTTTTACGATCCTAGGATAGGATCGGTTACGGATTACCATCACTAGATATGAAATTCGTCGAATTTCTCAATTTTTGTCAACATCAACACATTTTTAATCATTTTTCCGCTCTGGGAATTTATTTCAAAATTCTGAACGACAAATTTGTAGTCAGTAAGTTAATTAATGGAATGGCGATGAGTTTTTTAAGCCAGTTTCGATCATTGAACATACATTCAGGTCTCCTTTAGAGGGCTTATCTACTTTTCTCTGAATTTCGATGAGTTACAATTTTCCTGAAGGCTGTTTAACCTTGAGATCTCCTCCTTCAAAAAGTGAAAAGATCTGGAATGTATATTTTTTTTTAATCCGCAACTCCTTGCTGTACATATGTGTTTAAAATAAGTTTCCAGGGCCGAGAAATGATAAAAAATGTGCTGATTTTGACGATTTTGATGATTAGCCATCGAGTCCCACATTAATACTTTGTGCTGCAATAATTTTGCAATGAAAATTAAATGTTTTGACTCACTCTGAGAGAAAGCGTGGCCATGGAATTTTGCGACTGAACGGCGTGGTAGGGTCCGGAGTAGACGTTTCCCACGTTGTAGAGCGTGTCCCCCGTGTGGAAACCCCCACTGCCGCCCAGCCCTTTCGTGAGCAGGGGACGTGTAGGGGGGTTCTCGGGAAGTTGGAAGGTCGCATACGGACACACGTCGTCTCCATAGTCTGCAAAATTTGGCAGAAAGAAATTTTTTTTATGCAAATTAAATTTTTATATTCACAATATTTTCGCAATACAAAGAGTTCAACCTTTACTCATATTCATATCAGGCGCACACAAAGCGAAATTGTTGCTAATTTATCATTTATTTAAGTATATATGTAATATTGCCCTTTACTTATGTATATTTCGCAAATGTTAATATTACAAAAAACTGCTAATTTAATTTTGTCTCTTATTAGATTGCATGCTCGAAATTTCATTACAACATTAGCTCCCCTTCAAATTCATACAAATTAAATTCGCGACGCAAAATTCGATAAATTAAATTTTCCAAATTTGCCAAATATATCTCCTCATCGTTTGCACTCTTCGGCACATGTGCTACTAAAATTTATGGAAAAATTCTGCCTCAGTTCATTTCATGCCCATTGTGTCGGGATAACTAACAAGTAACACATCTTCATTTAGTTGTCGTCGTTGCAGGAGGAAGTATGTCGTCGTGTTTAACTCGATGTCGGCCCAAAATGTGCAGGGTGCGGCCCCCCCCCCCCCCCCCGCACCCTGCACATTTTGGGCCGACATCGACGGTATTAATGTGGCTAAACTAATAATGACATTTCATTCCGTTCCATTACTTTATTATCAGATTACGCCTTCCTCGCACCCAGCGAACGTGAGGGCGACATGGCGGAGGTGAAATTGTAATCGGATTGTCATCATCATCACGTCCGTAACATGGCTACTTTCTCACTCGGCTCACTTAAATAACGAGCACAACCTTGCTCCCACTTTCACCACGAGGTTGCTTTCACTTTCGATCTCGGTGAGCACAACGGAACAATTTTACTGTATTGTGCCTGCTCTCTTATTATCGTGTTCTTTACACTGCCTTAATTTTACTTGGGAGAGGAATGTACAGGATTTTCAGGCAATTTTCACAAACCCTGGCACACTTTCACTAAAAAAATATATAACTTACATGTGAGCTGGGTTAAAATGTGAGTTTTCATGTTTTTTTATTGCAAAATTTTGGTGTGGCCGTTATTTTAAGAAAATAAGCGAAAAATAATTCCAATACAGAATTTTCCATGTTGCGAAAATAGCAATTGTTATTACGTATGCTTGATAAAAGAATAAATATTTGCATAATAATGTTGTAGCCCTTAATTAGCAACTAAGTCACGGTATGTTTGACGTGTGAGCTGGGCGAGAATGGGATAAAATGTATTTTTTGGCACAATATTTTTGTGAGACAGTTATTTCAAATTTGCAAACATTAGTCCGACGCAGAATTAAAAAAAATTTTGTGGAACTTCAACACCTGTATTTTGGATTTTGCAAAACATAATTCTCTTTATAAACTTCAGATCAAAATGTTCTCTTTTACAATTTTAAGATACAAATTATATGAATTGTTGTCACATTTTGAATTAAAGAATTAAAGCCTTTATAGGCTGTTATGTCAATTAATTTTGAAAAATTTGCCTAACATAGAATTTTATATATTGCGAAGAGCAAGTATTATTGAAACAAGTAAAGAAGAATCCTTTTGTGGTAAAATTTTGTGTGAGAGATCGACACATTGATTTGGAATTTTCCGAAAAATATTTTGCCCAATAACTTTTAGATAAAATTAATGCAGATGGAAATTGTTATGTGCCAATTATAAGAAATGTTGATGCCTTAATAAAACAAATAAATTGCATGGTGTGTCGTGTATGTAATTTCATTAGAATACATGACTTTCACTCTACTTTCTCTCACATTAGCCTACTTCCATACCAAAGTTTGTGGTTTTCTCTACCTCTCCCATACCTGTTCACTTTCATTCATTTGAGTGATTATGATGATGGGTGATAGTGAATGAAAATAAATTTCCTTTGATTTGGGTGAAAATGATTGAAATATTCCGTCATTTCAGACGAATGACTGTGAATGAAAGATTTTTCACTCATTTCATTTTTCATCCTGTGCTTAATACATGGGGCGAAGTAAGAAATGAAGCCAGATGAAGTGAAGTGAAATGAATTGGAAAGAAAATGACTGAATGTGAATGAAAATCATCAATCAGAAATCGGGATGACTGACTTTTGAGTGAAAACCAAATTTTTGAACAGGTATGACCTCTCCAGGATCCTGAAGTATGCATGATTCGATGAAAGTGAAAGTTGGCACAGGTTTCGGTAAGTTCATATCTCGACGACTCAACAATTTACAATGTGGTGTTATAAATTTGATGAAATTTTAAGCAGGAAAGAGAAGGAATAATGACTGTGTTCTGTTGTAATCGGGTTAATAATTCTACGATGAGAATTATATGAACTTTGTGCTGTAATGAAAATGAGGAGGGGCTGCATTGCAAATAAACCATTGCAAAACGGACTTAACAAAGTGGCAAAAAACGTGTTTTTTTTACTTCGTATTTCTCTCTCCTTCGTTGTGGAATTATGATGGAATATGATTATGATGGAATTTCCTAGGGCAAAGAAAATTAATGTGATTGACTGGACAAAATACCCATCAAAGACAACTCACGCAATTCCCCAGTGGCGTAAACAAGAGGAAATAAATTTACCAGATGATATTCCAAATCGTCTTGCCATAAATTTATGCAATCAAATTGAAGCAAATAAAATCAATATTGCTGGGAGATCCATTCACAAAGATTATGAAACACTAGTAACTGAAGAAACACAGAACCATTTATATCAACAATTCCCTAACCCAAGGAACAATCACAGATATTACAACAATAATGTTCGAACCTTCCGTGGAGGATTTAATAGAACAACAGTTGGCAATGGACGACCTACCAGGGGATCCAACAATCGTAGTTTTTCAGGACGGGGAGGATACACAAAGAATCGTGGATATCTAAATCGGAGTCAAAATACAACACGACAAACTCAATCAAGAGGTCGAATTTTTAGGACTTCTTACAATTCATCTACATTCCCTCAAGGCTCGAGAGAAGCTAACAATATGTACAATTTCACGCCCAACCCGAATTTCCAAAAACTTGCACGACAAGAGAACTCCACCCCTTCCACATCCAACGTCAATATCCTGCAAACCTTCACATAGGAAAACGCCGCCATTAAGATTGATAAAAAAGAAGACAAAGACGATTTACTAACATGTCGAAAACTTTACAATACAAAGGTAAACTTACCAAAACCCAGCATAACAAACTATATCGTATGCATTCAAACTTCAAAGCACAAGACAATCACATTCACAATTTATCAAATATCAGGAAACTGCCTGAATTCGTACTATTCATTCTGTCTTTTGGTCTAAAATTTTGTGTTTTACAATCCTTTAATTATCATAAAATAACAGACAGTTTTAATGAGATTTTGAGGAAAATTAGTTGGATCACATTTTTTAAAGATATTAACCAAGTCAATATCTTAACTCCAGTTGATAAACTTTTAATCAGGATAAAAAAACACAAAAACATTGAAAAAAGTCCATGTGAAATACAGAGTCAAATTTTTCCAAATGATAACATTTCCTCAAGATTTATATCGCTTATTGCTAAAAAATATACGAAAGAAAATTTTATTCCTCCAGAAATCTTGCTCCAATTTCAAAATTTTCTAAATAATAACAACTTAGTTGTAAAAATGCAGATAAAAATGCAGGAATTTGTGTAATGAATAGAGATGATTATGAGAGAGAGGTTTTACGTCAGCTGGAAGACGAATTTATTTACATACCCAGTACTAAGACCGAATATGATTTTAAAATGGAGATTTTCATGGACAAAATGAAATCCATGAAAATACAGTTTAATGACAACAAAAAAACTAAACTTACTGATTTAATTAACTCTAATTATGAACCAGCAAATTTTTATGTTTTACCGAAAATTCATAAACCTTTTGTAAAATTTCCTGTTGGTAGGCCAATTAGCAGTACTTGTAACACAATCAACAAGTTTGTAAACGAGTTGGTTGACTTTATTTTAAAACCTATTACTACATTTATTCCAAATCTTATTATTGATACTAACCACCTGCTAATCCTCCTTGATAAGCTTACTTTAAATCCCACAGGGAAATACATATTTTTAACCTATGACATATCCAGTATGTACACATCTCTTAATTTAAGCAAATGTAAGCAATTTTGTACACAAGCCTTCAAAACTTATCGAGCCTATTTAACTTTGCCATTTCAATGTAATGATATTCAATTTAATAATTTACTGAATTTATGCTTAGATTATAATTATGTAAAATTCAAAAATCAACATTTTATTCAAATTAAAGGTATCCAAATGGGTAACTCAGCGTCAATCTCAGTAGCAAACATTACAGCTTTTTATGAACTTAATGACATTTTTAAAGACAAACCTGAGATCGAATTTAATGCCAGATTTGTGGATGATGGTTTACTTATAATAAACTGCTCTGAAATTATGGATATCGATGTCTGGTGTAGGCAAACTTTTTGTCACCAATATTTAGAGTTCACTTTAGAAACAAATCACGATTCAATTAATTTTCTTGATGTGAATTTAAGTTTTAACGATGAGAACAAGATAACAACATCTTTGTACTCGAAGCCAATGGCTAAAAATATTTTTTTACATTATCAATCAAACCATCCTAAGTCATTAAAGGAGTCATTACCATACTGTCAATTTCTACGAGCGAAAAAAATATGCTCAAGTTCTGATGATGCTGAGAGACAAATTAATTTAATTGCTGATAAGTTTATTAATAGAGGGTATCCTGAAAATGTATTAAAGTTGTGTAAAGAAAAAGTACTTATTATGGATAGAAATAATTTACTCATACCCAAAACTGATTTGGTTATCAGACACCTGAAACGAAACCAACCTCAAATTCTTGCTACATACAAATTGAATATGAGTTGTAATCCAATACGGGAAAATAATGTATACATAGTTATGCCCTTCTATAGGAATATGTATGGGTTCAAAAAATTTATTTTGGAATACATACGTAAACAAGCTGACCAGAGTACAAATGTCAGATACAGAAACATAGTTAAGAATCTAAATTTAGTTTTATCATTTAAAAAGGTGAACTCTCTTGAAATGTACTGCAAAACTCAGCCAACAAAATAATGTGAATTTTAGAGTGTAAGTTTCAACATTACAATTCAACATTACTCGAGGAAACATATTTTTAATAATCACCAAATAGGTAATTATTTATATAATTATTTATACAATTTAATCATAGCTGGATATATATTTTACCAATTTTAATGGCACATACATTTCTCCAATTTTTATTATTATTTAATTAAGATTATAGCTAATTTTGACATAATATGTATTATTACAGCCTGATGAAGCTGAATTATATTGCGAAACGCGTCGCTTGGTGAATAAAACTAAATCTTTGAAATCAGTTGGATTTGTTCCCTTCTCACTTTTCAAAGATGGATATGTCCAATGATTTATACATAAATCAATAGGCCAAAATTCGTAATATGTGCAATAAAAATGTCAAATTTGGCATATCGGATTTAAATATGAATGTAAAGTAAATTTTAAGATTTATTCAAAGCGGAACTCATAGTTGACAAGTTTCAAAAAATTGGATAGACAAATTTTAAATTTGAGTAGAAAATTTATGATTGTGTCACTTTTGTCCCGATAATTAATTATTTGAGTTATTAAAATATAACACCGCAAAGGTACATACTAGTATGATGGTCAGAATTAAGTATTCCAAGTTTGACTATTTAGTTCTCGAGCGATATTTTTCGTAAATTAAAAATTTTCGGCAGTCTCAAAATTACATTTTCAAATTTTCCTTATATTTTATTTTACCTCCTGCAAGGTCCCTTCCTTTGGTGGCGTATTGTGCGGTCAGATCAGGCGGGAACTGGCCTTGAGACCCCTTGACGAGCGTGTAATGCTGGTGCGGAGTGGCTGCGTCGTACATGATTCCACCCTGACCGTGACCGTAACCTTGACCTTGACCACCTCCACAGTCAAGATAGGACGTCCCATCGCCAGATCCGGCATAATTGTGGTCACCAATCACCGTTTTCGGGTGTGGAATTCCTAAAATTCCTGGAAATAATTTTTAAAAAACACAATTTATATTTTCATAGTTTCATTTTATAAAAATATGAAACACCTGTTGTAAAATTTTGAAAAATGTGGACACTATAAGTTAATTAATGCATATTTAATCGCTATTTTTCGCGCTCTAACGATTTTGATGTATGAGAACTTAAAATTTGAGTAGTTTTTTATCTTTAAATAATCAGTATACTGATTATTTATTATAATAAAGTTAGGGAACCCTTAGCCAGTTTTTACGCTATATGTTCGAATTTATATACAAATTTTTTCGCTAATTTTTTCTAGACCAATTTTTTCTATTATATCCATCTACATTTAGTAAATTGGTACTTCGACGTTCCGGACAATTCACAAATGACGTTTAACTCCTACACGTCGTATATATAAATTGTCTGTCCACGCATATTTCTAATGTTTCGCTAATTTTACACTTTTTGCAAAACTGCAATATTTTTTTAATCAATTCAACTCCAAAAATTTGTGCTAACATTGTTGTCGCTTCAAACGTACGTCTAAATTTTATGCTAATGATTTTTTTAGAGTTCTGCAAACTGATCTCTTTAGCTGAACCTTCAAAAAGAAAGTAGTTCTATTTTGGAATTAGGGGTGCTCTAATCCAGTTTTTGAGATATATACAAGCTGAAATTGGCCACATTTTTTCCAGCTTTTGAAACATTTAGTTTTTGACCAAAACTCAGCCAAATTTGTATTTTTTGTACTGTCACCAACTTACGTTTTCTCCGGATGTAGCAGAAGAATGAGATGACGGCGGTGACCATGGCGAGTGCGAGGACGGAGGGGAACACGATCAGGAGCGACGTGCTCAGCGTGGACGCCTCGTTTTCTCCCAAAGCACTGTCACCATCACGACTTTCTCCAATACTTTCTCCCGGGGATTTTCCACCACCTGCGGATCCAAACCACGCCATAAAAATCGTGAAAATTTACATATTTCGATTTTTGTGTAGTTCATTCATATTTCGTTTTAATTCTGTTAAGAGAAGCATTAAAGAACGATATATGGTACCCAAAATTGAATCGGATGTTATCGGGTGGTTATGATAGTCATCGAAGGATATGTAAAAGGATATGATAAACTAGGAGAAATTTATTCAGCCCATGGCAAGGTCAGATTTATTGTTGCCCCCCGGTAAAAAATACTTCAAATTGTAGCCACTGGTTTATGTATCTATCGAATGAGTAAATTTACGCAATTTAATTGAAAAGATGCGAGTGAAACATTACGTGTTCGACAAATTTTAATGCCGAAATCAATTTTATTCGAATTACGTGTTCGACAAATTTTAATGCCGAAATCAATTTTATTCGAATTACGTGTTCGACAAATTTTAATGCCGAAATCAATTTTATTCGAATTACGTGTTCGACAAATTTTAATGCCGAAATCAATTTTATTCGAATTACGTGTTCGACAAATTTTAATGCCGAAATCAATTTTATTCGAATTACGTGTTCGACAAATTTTAATGCCGAAATCAATTTTATTCGAATTACGTGTTCGACAAATTTTAATGCCGAAATCAATTTTATTCGAATTACGTGTTCGACAAATTTTAATGCCGAAATCAATTTTATTCGAATTACGTGTTCGACAAATTTTAATGCCGAAATCAATTTTATTCGAATTACGTGTTCGACAAATTTTAATGCCGAAATCAATTTTATTCGAAAATTTAATTTACTGTTTAGCCTTTAGATCGATACCCTGGGTACGGAAATGGTAAGTTGTTCATTACAATTTGTTCAGTTACATAGATTGACAAAGTCTGGTAAATTGTGAAGTGTTTAAAATGTTGACCGACAGAAAAGTGCACCTGTTTGAAATAAAACAGACGAAATCATAGTATTATTTGCATAACATTTTGCATGATAAATTTTATAGAAATCTATAAATTATAAAAATGTTTTTGGTTTCGTTTACTAATTACAATTTTATCATAAATATTTAATCTCACCAAAATTTGTAGAATGCACACGTGTAAATATGTAACTAACTTTTAAAGTACTATGATTTAAACGCCGATTTGAGATTCTTAATTTGTCCACCAGACGTCCACTTTTAATTAAGGTATTGTGACAGACATTACATCCATCGCTGACGTCCGGGTTATATTTGGAATCAGAAGTGTTTCCTTAATTAATTTTAATAAGCTACATTTTCTATGATAAATTGTTAAGAAATATAAATTATAAATTAAATGTGAACATATTTTGGCTCCTCAATACCGATTCTAATTTCTTTTGGTAAATTTGAAATTTCTTTGTGGTTTGATTTCCAACTTAAAATTTATATCTTAAACAATAATATGTCCGTCCAGCATAATTAAAAAATTTAGCATTTTAATAATTCAGTCATCAGATTTACATGTTTAAACGCCAATTGGTTATTTTGTAAAATTTGTTCATAATTGAATTTCATACCAGATACTTGAAACATAGTCTTGTAGATAAATTTCGAGCGAAGGTTCGTTAATGTACTTTGCTACCGCAAAGGAATCAATTATTTACCGACGAGGAAAAACTCAAATTTTGTGAATAATTATTATTATTATAACCCTTCCGTAATAAATCGTTACCAAATCAGCATTAAGCTTATTCTTACATTATTTAACGTAAGTAAATTGAAATATTTTTTTACCGTTACCGTGACTGGTGGTGTCCAGTGGGGGAAGTGATCCGGTGAGAAATTCGTATTTAGCTAACGTGTCGCCGGCATGGTTTCCGGCCGTGACGCGAATGTCGTACCGCGTGTTGGCGTGCAGGCCCGTCAACGTGTACGACTTTGCAGAACCCTGGCAAAGAAAATATATTTCCTGATAAATAAATTATGAACAAAAATACAGGGTACAAAAATAGTTTGCTTTTGGTTATTCGTAGTTAATCACATCACAAGAGGTAATTTCGCACATTACAGATTTTCGCATTGCAAAAAGATGCGAATTAAGTGATACATTACACGTATTATTCAAAACCTTAAGGAACAGGAAAATTAACTTATCTGAGTGTCTGTTTTTTATTTAAATCGAATTTCTTTCAAATTGCAAATTGGCGTTTAAAATGTGAACCTGCAAAAAAATTGGGAATAACAAGCGACAATGCAAACTTGACTTTTTGCGTGGAAATCATTTCCTAAAATTGATTTGCAAAATTTCGCATGCAAATATGACAAAAATGCAAATTATGCATCTTACAACATAACTGTGCACATATTTGTCGCCCATAATATTTAGCAGTATTTTTTTTACAGAAATTACTAAAAGACTGTGTACAGATTTATTTATGTCAATAAATAAATAATCTCTTTATATAATTTTTACGTACAAAAAATATGCAACTATGCAAAAAATCATGAATTTATGTGCGGACTTACATTGAGCTCGGCAGGAATCCGCATCCAGCTTTTTTCCTGGGATTTTTTGTACTCGATCGTGAATCGAAGAATGGGGCAGCCGGCGTCCTTCCAAAGGTCCAAACGCATCACGATCGTCGAGTGGTTCGAGACAAGGGCTTCCTCCTTCTTGGGGGAAATCGGGGCTGGAAATTTTTATAGAATTTTACGAAATTGTGAAATTGTTTGGCAGGTTTTACTTGAAGGAACAAAATTTTTAAAAGTTATCCCGTATGCCCAAAATAAGTAAAATGAATAGGTATCGAGGATAAATTGCAAAATTGCAATAAAAACTCGGCCAAAATTTGAATTTGAATTCTGTTCCTTGATGAACTTTAATTCTTTTGTAATTTTTTTCTAAATTTTTAATAAGATGTTAGGTACTTCAACGATAACTTGATATCTTCATTGCTTACGAAATTTTTTGGGGGCTTTGTCTAAATGTTTTGATTCTGTTTTTTCGGATTCAAAAAGTATGCACTAAAAAATAATACAGAAAATACAAGAATAATAACTTTAAAGTATGCCTCATATGCAATCTTGAAAATGTATATGCCGAAATATTTGCAAAATATCGTGCTTAAGATAACGTAAATACTTTGCAAAATTAGCTTTTGATCACGCTTGAAAGTATTTCCAATGAAACCGTCGGAAACAAATATTTAGATAATCTGCGTATTTAAAATTTGAACAGATTTAACAAAAGCGTTGGACAAAATTTTGAGTTTTGAAAAACTAATTTTCATAATTTTCCTCACCACTGCCTTTCGTGCTTCGGGTCAAAATATCTGACGCCGGACTGGGCCCGATTTTGTTGACGGCGGTGATGTAGAGTTGGTAGGTGGATCCGCAGAGGAGCGGCTGCAGGGTGTGCCCCGTCGCACGCGGGCCAACCTCCGTCTCCTCCCAGTCGCCCCCATCACGACGGTAGCTCACCAAATAACCTATGAGTCATACAGGCTTTTATTTACTAACACGATAAATTAGCATGCATAATCATCAATTTGCAAAAATTGTTGCGAAAATAGGAAAAAGATCGAAACTACTAGTACTTACATATAAACTAATTTTGAAAAGTTTCAAAAAAGTAACATTTTAATAAAAATAAATCGTTGCTTTCATCGTGGATCAAAAACTATACGACATTTTGACACATTTGTTTGCATAAAATTTTACACATTCACCCAACGGTGAACCTATCTGTATTTTATTTTCAATAATGGGAGAAATATAAATTAAATGACGACGTGCAAGTTCGCCGAACTTTTTTTGCAAATTTTTACAATTTTTATCAATGTCACCATCTCACCTCTGACCTGGCTCCCACCCGAGTGTGGGGTTGACCAGACGACCTTTAAGGACGTGTATCCGACCTCGATGACTTGGAGGATGGGTGCTTCCGGCGGGGTCTGCACTTTCACCGCGTAAACCACGCTTTCGCTCCCGTGCGCGTTGGTGGCTGTGCAGGTGTAATTTCCACCGTCTTCCACTCCGACGTCTTTCACGACCAGTTTCGTGTTTCCACCTGGACTCGGTTGCACCTTAAAAATGGTCGTAAAAACATGGATTAAAATCGGTTATACATTTTTTAAAAACATCGAAAAATGAGTTGCATAATTTTCTATCGAGTTTTAGATGACAATAATTTGTAACTTAACGCACCATACAAATCTTACGATTTTGTGTGTAAATCAACAGTGAGACAATTCACGTAGGGGTTGGTAACATTGTAAATTCTGTAAACTTACAACCTTTTACAAAATGTTACAAATTTTTCTAATGAAAATTAGCTTCCAAATCTTCGTTACTTTATACAATACAACTTGAGTGAGTGAGTATTCAATGTTGCCCAATATTTATGAAAACACTGAAAATCTTTGACACTTGTTCTCAAAAAATTTGTATTTATGTTTAACTCTTAATTTTTATAATTATTGAAACTATTTAGAACAAGAAAATAATGAAACAGGATTTTGCATTAAATTTATCTACTTTCAAAATGAGAAGAAGTAACGCCAAAAGATATAATTCAAGAAATTTCAAGTATAATTTGAATAATTCAGATAATTCCTCTGGCCGACTTTATACGATTGTAATCTGATAAACCTTAAATGATGAAAGCTATCGAATTTTACTTTGAGAAGGAAATGAGCTCTTCACTAAACCAAACTATTTAGATAAATTATTTGTAATTTCAAATCCATTCAATTTGCGACATAATTTTGCGTAATTAATCCATGCATGATAAGGCTGGGCCTCCCGTAGTTTTTCTGCAATTTTTTTTCGAAATGTCAAAAAATTGGAAGTTATGTTCAATTTTGCGAGATATATGAAAGGTTGACAGGGAATAGGCTAAGCGTAAAGACCAATTTTGTTAACATTTTACCAATATATAATCACTTTGGTTCATCCATCGACTTGCTATGTGCTATGTGAATTGTTATGTGCTCATCATTTCATAATAAACTACGAAATATCGTGTCGCATCATTTTACGGCATGTCACGGCATGGCATGTCACGTAGTGGGCAAACTTATAAAAAATGATGAGTGGATGAGGAACGCTTGACTTTCACAATAAAAATTCCGGCGTGCCCTTAAAACCGGGAGAGGATGAGAGCTCAGCAATCCATCCAAAAATCCGAAATGCACTGGCTTTCACTTTGAAGGAATACCGTTTTGATGATGATCATCATCCGGCAGCCTTCTCTTCATCGTCATCATCAACTTCCTTCCGCTTTCTCTGGTTTACTTTCTCTTTTAAAAAATATGTTTCGTACTGCTGTTGTTCAACCCGTCAAAATCGGATCCGGGGAAAATATGACGGGAGAAAGTGAAAGGTTTGCCGGAGGAGAAAGTAAAGTGCGTCCAATGGGTGTATTGTGTATTCAAGCCAAACTTGGAAAAAATGATGGTGAATGTTGCGAGACTTCAACTGCGACTAAAACATTTTAGAAGGTTTTTGTATGCCAAATAAATTTCTGAGGTTAGTCAAGTCCGAAATAGGAGTTGGTTAGCGATGACGAAATTGTGTATCGAATTTTTACCAGAAATATTATCCCTAGTTTCTTGAAAATTATTTAATGGAGAAAGTGCGTCAGTTGGGCTCTTTTTAAGCCAAATGTAGGCAATTACGGTGACATTTGTAAAAATAATGACATTTTTAAAAGTAATTTTCCCTAAACTGCGATTCTTCAAAGGCAATTAGCACATTTTAGAACTTTACTATATAATAAATAGTCATCTTAGGTGAAAATTGGTGGTTTGTTGGTAATTCAGAAATTTTTATCTAATTTTCCTTTTGAATTTTATCCTTATTTTTTTTAATTATGAATAATTATACAATTCACGCAGTCACTGGTAACTTTGTAAAATCTGTACCTTTTCTAAAATAAATTTACAAACTTCTTACAAATAAAGAGACGCCATTGATCTTCACAGATTTTTTTAATTTTGTGAAAGTTTGTCAGTTTGCGGATTTTACAATGTTACCAATGCCTGCATGAATTACGTTGTAATGAATAAAATTCGACGTGAGCACGAACAAAATTTATCCAATAATAATGCCCACGAATTTGAGTTTAGACGATCCTTCTCAACTTTGACTTGATTGTTGTGCTCTTTTTGTTCGCTAAATCCGCACTTTTGTTGATACGTCCGTCACACACAAAAAGTGTCAAAGGTTCATAAAGAGGATGGGAAAGTGGGAGGAAGTCGGGACAGGAAAACGCTATAAATCAGAAAATAGAGGAAAAAATGAGGGACAAAACAGGATGATAAATTATACCGCGTAGGTTTTGTGATGAGAATAATACCAACTTTTTTGATGCGGATTATGTCAATCGACAGTAGAAATTATGTTACATAATGAAATAACCTGGATTTCTAACATGCTTTTTATCTAACGATAAGTAAATATAATTCACTACGTGATTTAAAAAGTATGCAAAAAACGTAATAATAATAGTCCGGATTTTAGGAGGATTATGTCACGAGTAAAATAAGCTGGATTTTTAGCATGTTTTTTAAAACTAAAAAATTCGATTTGAAAAATAAAAATTGAAAAAAATTCGATAAAGAGTTTGATGATAATTTTGTGTAAACAATTAATCACAACGGGTTTGACATTTTTTATTTGTTTGTTTGATCCCGGCAAAAAATAAGCGTCTGAAATGACGATAAATCACGCATAGATTCTAATTTGCAAACAACCGAATTAATAAACATCTTTAATTTTAATAGCTCGAAGTTTTTTAAATATTATAAAAAATAAAAATGAACAAAAAAATAGTATTAATTCTTAAAAAACATAGCCAAATATTTCTCAAGAATGCCTAGAAATAAACAATCCTCAGAAACGTAGAAATAAAAAAGCAGGTATCTTAGAATTTCCAAATTTGCATCTAAATCTTTATTATTTTACACTGGCGTCGAAATCTTACTAAACTTTATACTTATTTTGCACTTTATACTTTCACTTTTCGTTGCAAACCTCCCGTATATTTTTCCACTTATGCCATACTTAAGTTATAGCATTGGCACAAGTTACAATAGCCAAGTTAATTTAAGCTGCATATCGATCACAAAATGTATCTTTAGAAATATTGCAACAAATTTCGAAACTTGCAAATTTATTTTTACCCACCTCTCGCTTCCCGTTTCCCCCGTGGATTTCCGCACCACCGTTAAAGCTCCACTCCACCGTGGGTTCCGGCACACCCACCACGACGCAATCCAGCCCAAGCTCTTTCTTCCACGGAATTTCCACCGTTCCAGAAAAAGTCGCTATTTTCGCGGAAACTGAAAAACAATTAGGAAATCTTGGGGATAATAAATATTAACAAATTCCTGAGATATTAAATTCTGCCGGAGTTATGATCAGGGCTGCATTTCACGACCAATTTCTCATGAAAGTAATTACAACCTGGAGACTGGGCCTCTCGTGGATTTAATGGAGTAATAAAGTTGGGGAGAAAGAGTAATTAGTTCCGAAGAGGAGCAATTATTGCGGGGCAAAATGAGCAATTAAGCTCAAAACTTGATTACTTTCTCCGTCTCTGAGGGGCTGTGTGCATACACTGTTAAAAATCTGGTAGAGTCTGATAGTACTCCGTACTGGTATCGACTTGGTAATAGCTTCCTACCGGATTGGTAATAGTTTATTTCTGAGTACTGAGTAGTAAGTATTTCGTTGTCACAAAATTACTAAACGGTAATGGCCGTTACTACCGTGCCGATAGAGTCACAATAATTTAATACCAATTTTCTAAGTGTTACATTTTACTTGTGGTAAATTTTTCATTACCACAACATTCGTTTTCTTGGTGGATTAAGGCGTGGTGTTTAGCAAGGCATCCTAATTTTAATTAATGTAGGTCAAAAATCCGGAAATCTCATGAAATCTCATGAATCACATGATTTTTGCATGATGCCTGCCTGGAGAAATGTGGATATTACTTATGGTTTGGGCGGAAAATTTGCCGTTATTGGCTGTTGATGATTTTTCTATGTTGGAGCTAATTTGCATCGGGATATTTGTGTAATGATGTAAAATTGATAAATTTATTGGTTCCGGTTACACTCGTTTACACAAAGGAGGGACATTTACGAGCAAAATGAAGCTACACCTTAATTATTTTACACAGATTAATATTAATTTAATGAAAGTTTGTAGTATGCTTTGTAAAAATTGTGAAGTTTAACTTGGTTACAAATTTTTGTGAAAATTGTTTTGTAAATATTAATAAAGTCATACGCCATTTTGAACTTTGCTGTTTATTTCATCTTCTTTTATAAATTTGTAGATCGGGCAGCAGGTTCGTCAAATACCGTAAACAAGAGTTTATGTTGTTGAAATACTGAGTAACGTTTACGTAAGAAATTTCGTAAACCAAAAGTCTGAAATAATTTAACTCATTACCTTTATTGTTTGTGGGGGTGGTGGCGTTGATTCTTTTGGTGGGCGTGCCCTCCCCCACTCGAGTCGTGCAGCTGACCCAGAACTCGTACGTGGAGGCCTCCTTCAGTCCAACCCACTCCAGGCGAAGGTCCGGAAACGACACCTGCTTCTTTTCCTTAAATTGTAAAGTGGTCATTGTAATGAAACCTCGTAACGTATAATTACGTGTAGAATGCAGATATTGAATTGGGCGTGGTCACCTCAACGTCTTATTTCATGTCGCAACTCACTTTTTCGCAAATAGTTTGTGAAATAATTTAGCAACAGATTGGGCAGATTTACGAAACAAATATCAAATCGTGTTCAAAATTTTGAAAAGTTGTGTTGGTGTTGTTAATGTTAGAGATTTCCGAGATAGATACCGCAAATTGTTGTCATTACGCCTAAAGAAAGTTTATGATGCGAATTATGAAATTCTCATCTGTAAACTGGTTTTGAAAACTAATTGAAAATTGTGCCAGTATTTACATATAAATTCGTTAACTTCACGTCTAGGTGAGTATCCGGTGGATATGCACGTATCAAAATTGTTTATGCTTATTAATAGCGACGAAACCATTTATTTCTTGTATATCATTTGCTAAAATATATAGTTTAGGTCTCAGGTTTTGATAAACTGCTCTTAAATATTTAATGAATTGTTTTGTGAGGCAATTCCCGCAGTAATTATTAGGTAACTCGTAAATTTCGTAAGTTTTGTAAAATAATTTTACAAACTTAATAAAAAGACATTTTTGATCTGAGGAGGGGAGGTTGGGTACTATCAACTCCCGGATCTCGATGCCCTTTGGATATGTTGTAGTGTCCCATGAATGTACAAGAACCCTGAAGTGGTTTGATGCCATGGCCACATTTGCGCCCGCCACACCCACTCAAATGTGCCCATAAATCGCTTTCACTCCAGCTTTCACTCATTCAAAACCACGCCAAAAATCCAATTTTACTCCGATTTTCAAATTTCTTTCAACATTATACTCCCAGATAGTTGCTTTCTTATTTCCAACATCAAACTCAACTTTTTGGATGATTATTTCGCAGGCATAATTTGTTTTGTTGATTACTACAACAATGCTCATTCAGAATTTTAAATTTTAAAAATACTAAAAATTTCAAAAAGTTGAGTTTGATGTTGGAAATAAGAAAGCAACTATCTGGGAGTATAATGTTGAAAGAAATTTGAAAATTGGAGTAAAATTGGATTTTTGGCGTGGTTTTGAATGAGTGAAAGCTGGAGTGAAAGCGATTTATGGGCACATTTGAGTGGGTGTGGCGGGCGCAAATGTGGCCATGGCATCAAACCACTTCAGGGTTCTTGTACCTTCATGGGACACTACAAAATATCCAAAAGGCATCGAGATCCGGGAGTTGATAGTACACAACCTCCCCTCCTGAGTAAATTTCCCCAAATTTCTGAGTTAATGTTGCTTAATAAAATTTGTAAAAGTTGGTAAGTTTATGAATTTTACAAAGTTACCGAGACCTGCGTGAATTGTCACGCAACATTTCTTACCACTTTGGTCTCATCGGAGATTCTGCTGTAGACGGTGAACTTGAGGACTTTTCCGTTGGGGTTTGCCGGAGGAAGCCACGAGATGAGGATGGACCGTCGAGAGGACACCACCGCCTTCAGCCCCAACGGTGGAGAGGGAACTGCGAACAAAAAAAATTAAATCACAAAATTTTTATGCAAATTCCAAAGCCGATTAAGAATTTTGATTTATTTATTAAAAACAATCTTTATTAAAGATTGTATTTTAGCGGATACCGTTTGCAGCCATCGATTGAAATAATTCATTTATATGAAAAATCATGCACAAACTTTTAATTAAAATTTGTAAACTGTGTAAACAATTTGCACAATATTTTATGAAGCCTTGGTATAAATATTATAACAATAACAGCTTCTGGTAGAATTTTCAAAATTCTCTCAAACAAAACGAAACTTCTACTTTTCTACTTGGCATGATTACAAAATTTGTAAGCAAATACAACATTTGCTCAATGTGGCTGCCTAAATTATCAGAAATCATTGTTTCAAAATAGCCTCGAATTATTTTACAACGGGAAACGAGTTATTGTAAATACGTATGTACATGCAAAACTTCTTTTGAACCCTGGTAGAAATTTATTGTACGTATTTTAGTATATTTTCTAACCTCTCTTCGAAGTTGAAATTTGCTAAATATTTGCAACTTAAATGAGGGATGAATATCTTCTTAAAAGGTTGTAATGAAGTTTTGCTTTGCACACAGTTTTCCAGAAAATGCAAATATTTTCAGTAGTGCAACTTCAAAAAATTTGATTATACGCGATTGAGAATGGTAACGAAATGTAAATATTTACCAAGGTCAAGAATTCTGTTTGACGAGTTGTAAATATCAGGAGACAGATTTTTCGACAATATGTTGTATGTTGTTTTCTCAAATCGTTAGCAAGATCCAAATAAAGCGGGGAACATTACGCAGAAAATTTTTATTTCCGGGAAATAACCCTGAAACCATTATTTTATTAAGTATTAGCCGGACCACGTAAGAGCAGGACGGAGAGCAGACAAATGTGCAGTAGAAACCGCTAACTGCCCGTAAGAAATACATGGGAAGCCGATGGCGGTGGTGCACCACTGGCCTCCCAGGTATTTCTTACGGGTGGTAAGCGGTTTCTACTGCACATTTGTCTGCTCTCCGTCCTGCTCTTACGTGGTCCGGCTAATAATCTTTCAAAATACAGTAAATTATGTAATTATAATAAGTTTCTATCAATTGTTTTGAGATTTTACTCAATTTGTTTAAGTGGGACGCCATCCGTAACACAATTTGGAGGAGACGATATATATACACGATCTAGATCGGATACACGTCATCTCGTAAGTTTTTGCGATTAGATAATTAATTAACACTAGTCTTGTAGAATTTAATTAATTATTCAATTGATAAAATTAATTGATAGGTATGTTTTTTTTAATTCATAATATTTTCAATACATCAAATTTATTAGGAGGTGACATTTTTCGGGAATTATCGTAAATAATATTGAATCGATTTAATATTTCTACCCGACCAGAATATTATGAGTGAATCTTAGAAAAAATTATGCTAATTAATTGCTCAATTGCGTACTTAACTAATTAATTAATTACATTGAGCCTGCTCGAATATCCAATTTACTATATATCTCAAGAGAAGAAGCATCTTAATATCCATAATGTTACTTCTCCATTAAATTTTATACTGAACGGCGTTCCACTAAAGCAGCTCAGTTTGTAATTTTGAAAATTGGAATTATTAAGTACTTTTTTGAAAAATAGAAATTTTTCATTTAACGCAGGGCATTTTTAGTAATTTCTCATCTCGGGGAATTTATTTTAACATTCTGGATGGCAAATTTCACGGGAAAATTTCCTGATCTCGAATTCTGCCTCAATTTCTAATCCCTCACAATTTTAAGAAACCCATCAACTTTCTCTAGACAAGGAGACGATGACTTTAGTGCAATTGGGCAGAAGGGATGTAAAGGGTGGAAATTTTGCTGGTAGGTTTTTGAGGTTGGGATTGATTTGATTCGATCATGGTTTGCTTTGATTGCTTGCCTCTCGATCCCCTCCATTTGGTTCGAGATCAAGCTTCGTGGTCCTCAGGAGGAACGGACAGGAAGGAAATCGGGGCCATCAGCAGTACACATCCGAGAGCATGGGACATTAGCATTACAAGTTTTTAGGGCAGAAAGGATTGGACAGATTTTTTGGGGAAAACTTGTCACCAACCATGAAACTTTTCTGGGCGAGTCGAGGGAATTCAACGAGGGAATTCACGTAGTCCTTGGTAACCTTGTAAAATCCGTAAAATTCTCTAAACTGACCAAGGTCCTGAATTTCACTTAGTTACGTGTCTATATAGACACGTAACTAAGTAAAATTCAGGACCTTGAAACTGACAAACTTTTACAAATACTTCGAAAGAAAAATAGCTTACAATGTTTTTGCGAAGTTTCAGTGTTTTGAAATATTAATTAATTAAAATAATTGCCTAAATTGGACGATTTTCTTGAAAATTTCAAACTTCAAGAATATAGTTAAACAGGCAGATGACCAGTTTTTCCTGATTTCGAAATCAGTCGATAAATTCAAGCAGAACGGCATTTCAAATCCGTCTGGTTTCAAAATTATTTCATAAACTTCTCCTAAATAAACATCTATGTACCTAATCAACATTGTCGTAATTTGTATTCTTCCAAACATGTACTTTTAAACCGATTAACTCGTCATTTTTTTTAAATTTTATTGAAGAACATTTTCATATAAATTTTAGAATGTACGAAGTTACGAGGACTGACTAAAGTCAAAACATGCACACAGTCCTTCGTACATCCTGTAAAATTCTAAAACTTAAATGTAAAAAGTTACAAAAATCTTTTAAAAAATCGAGGGATAATCTGTTGACACAAACTTTTGTAAGATTACAAATTACTACAGTCACTTTAGTACAGTGTCGCATTATTTGGTAGAAGTTTGTAAAATAATTTTAAAATCCAACGGATTCGAAATAACGTGTAGCAGTCCCAGTGTGTCATTCACGTGTTTCTTTAATTATTGAATCTGAAAGTCTATAAATTGCAATAGTGTCGTCCACATGTGTAAAAATTTTAATTAAAAAATAAAACTCCTCCAAATTTTTCAAAATTTTATTTTCATCCGATTAAATCAGATTGTTGAAACCCAGTAAACACTTCGCATAAGTTTCGCAGCATTTCATGCAAAATATGTGGAAACACGTACTCAATCTGTATTGTAATTTGGCGATAAATACATTTAGTTTTTGCAAAGTTACAAAGTTGTCGAGATTTTAAAGGATTTAAAAACGCCCTTGATCGGAGTACTATAAGTTTACAAAATTGCTAAGCTAATTTTCCTTAGAAATATTTGTAAAAGTTTGTGAAAGTTTGTAAGCTTGCGAATTTTCCGTTTTTACAAAGTTGCCAATAAGTGCGTGAATTGGCTTAAAGTTGTAATTCTTTTCTGGCGTACTTTATGCACATCCCTCGAACCAAGGGGCTAAGGGAAAGGACAGAAAGGGAGACTCATGCCCAATTTGAGTCACATAACTCCATCCTGTATATCAATCCGGGTTGGAGAAAGTCTGCGTAACGGGGTAAAAATTGGCAATAAAAACTATTTACCCGCGAAAAAATTGGCTCCCTGCAAATTCCATTTTTGCGATTCACCATTTCTTTAAAGGATTGATTTCAAGTTGAAAATTTCATAGCTCATGTGCAGCTGAATTTGTTTCACAATTTATTAAAGAATATTATACATACAAAAATGCGTAAATAAAGTTGTATACAACTTTAAACAAATTGCATGCGGGTTCAAGCGTAATTTCAAAATATAAAAAGAACAGAAATTTGTTGGTGGTAATTTTTTTAAATACAAGTCTTATACACAAGATGTCATGTTTGTCAAGTTTGCAATTGTTAAACTTGCATATTTGAAACTCGCAATTTTTTACAAATGCACTTTTTTTTGCAATTTAAGGTTTTTCTTCCATATGTAAAATCAATTTCACAAGTGGAAAGAACCTGCACGATATGAATGCCAATTTGGGTAAAAATTGGCATAAAACACGGAATGACTCTGGCACGTGCAGTGGGGACTAAAATTACCGTTACATTCGCAGATTGAATTGCAAGAAAAAAAGTGGCACTTGGCAAAAATCGGAACATCCATTTTTTTTCTTCCGATGATGAGGAGGGATTGACTAAGTTTATTTTTGCATGCAAAAATTCCTTTAGGACACTATTTTTGCAAATATTTGATTTCGTCGTAATTTTTTGTTCTGTTATTTTACGTGACAATCAGATCATACCTTAAGTATTTAAAAGGTTAGTTCACATTGTCAATGTAAACTTTTGGCGTAGAATTTACTCAAATCAAACAATTAATATTTTATCGGAGGTTACTATATTTTATATCAGGCTATTCGTCGTAGAATTTGCGATGTTAATGAGAAATGAATCTAGTTTATTTTTTTTCATGTAGGGCACAATTTTGTAATATTTGATTTCGTAGCAGCAGTTTTTTTTACGTCCCCCTCGCCTATGCAGGCGCGCATTAGCACATGAAATCTAAAATGTTTAAAGTAGTACTACTTTCAATCTAAACTTTTGGCGTGGAATTTACTCAAATAAAACAATTAATATTTTATATAACGTTGAGAGCTTGATATCTCCTCAAAATTTGCAGAGAAGTTACATAGCTCCAACTCAATTCGTTTTTTTGTGCCGAATAATTCCTTAAAATGTCAAATTTAGCAACACACGGGGGAACATTACGTAAATAAGCGTAAAAAATAATCTAACGAACAGTTGCAATTTGTAACGACAGAGGCAAATAATTTGCCTCTAATAATTAACCAAATATATTTGGAAATGTCAGAATTTTCGACGGTTTCATCGTTTTTTATGAATTTTGCATAATGCGTTTAACAGGATAAATATGTACCAACTACGACGATCACTTTCTGGAATTTGAAACACTCTTTTTCTAAGGACTGGCCTCTACCTGTTTTCCCACCTATGTTTGTTTATTCGTATTCTCAAAGTTTGTGCATTTCACTAAAATCGTACAAATTATGCAAAATATTTTAATTAACATGTAAAATCCAACAATTTCCAAAATTTTATTTGAACCAATTCAATTGGAGTTTTGAAACCCAGTAAATTCTACCTAACCATTTCATTCTAAAAACGCATCGATGCTCTTGATCTCCTCCTTTTATGTTGTAAAAATTTGCAAGGTTATTTACCAAAATTTCCGGATGTTACAAGGTTACCCAGGAATGAATGAATATTTTTTTCAAAGTTACGCAATTTACAATCTTGCTATTTAAATTTAAACGTTGAAGCATTTTAAATATTTTTCAATAAAAACGCTGCCAATCTTACCGTCCTCGTCCGTCCTGCACAAGAGCGGGGTTGACACGGCCCCATCGCCGACGACGGTAAATCCTCGCACGGTGACGGAATAATTGGTCCATTTTCGTAACCCGTGCAAAACGAGGTCTCTCTCCGTCGTCACTTTCGTCTCGATTTGGTCCCCCGATTCGGCCTCGCTGCCCGGCCCCCCCTCGTCCTGCCCTCCGACGACGAGGACGTCCACTTTGTAGCCTTGGACGGCCCCGTGACGCGCTTCGAGCGGGGGTGGTTCCCAGGTCAAGACCAAACTTTGCGGGGAGGTGGATCTGCACTCAAATTTCTCTGGCGGCTGGGTTGGCACTGAAATTTATTTTCTTATAATTTGTTTTTTGTCTGAAACTTAAAAGTTAAGTTGAATAATTTTTTAGCAATAGTTTTACGCCAAAATTGAGAAACTACTAAATCACGTGTGTCTAAAATAAGTTTTATAGGTATGTAGAATGGCCAGTGACATAATTTAGTAATTAATTTTTTACGAATTTACTTAATTCTGAATTGTTTAAATTGAGACAATTAACGCAATAATTGGGAATTTTTAAAAATGCGTATGAACATGGAATTATTAGATTCATGATATCCGATGCACCGCGTGCTCACACCTTTCACCCCCAACTTTCTGACCAACTTTGTCTTTACCTAATTCAAATCGGGTGAAAGTGAAAACTTAAAATTCAAGTGTATAACTATAGTTCAACACCAAAATTGTGAAACTATTAACTAATCACGTGTGTCAAATAAAATTATGCAGATCGTAACTCCATAATTGCATGTTTGTCACCCTATAGTGTTAATATTTTGTAACCAATATTATGTTAAGCTTATTCCCCATTTGTAAAAATTTGTCAGTTTCGGATTGTCTATTGTATAAAATAAAAAGGTGTTCTTGCAGATCCATACAATTCAATAATTAGTAATCTCAGCACAATCTCAAATTTTAATCCCTAAATTATTCTTTAGAGTGTCGACCATGCAGACTTGGTAAATATGGAAATATTACAAATTCATGACATCCGATCCATCACGTGCTAACACCTTTCGCTCTCAACTTTCCAACTAACTTTGTCTCTAATTCAATCCGGATGAAAGTGCTGGCCAGGTGTCAGCCCCGATTTAATTCCGCACTCAGCAACGCCTCCACCCACGCTAAGCTGCATATTTACATAGGGCCCGACATCAAACATGCGATTTATGTAAGAATGGATGTGGAAATAGGACTTTGCTAAAATTGGACACATTCTTTACGCACGCTCCATGAAATAAGAATTTCTTCTCATGGATTCATTTCACTCTCAAAATGAATGATTTATGAGAGAACTACACCATTCGAAAAGTGTTTTAAGTGATATTTTTACATGTTTTTAACAAAATTTTAGTGGATTTCAAATTGGTTCAATTACTCTGCACTTTCTATACGAATGTATGTTCAATGCAGATTTTATAAAACAGAAGATAAATAAGTGTTTGAAATAATTTAATTTAATTTCTTGCTAAATTTATAACTCTGACGCCATTACAGTAAAATTGTAAATTGCATATATTTAAACTAGTTGCGCAGATTGGTGGTAGAACGGTCCCGTACAACGGTTATTGATTTTGAAGAGTATTTAGCAAAGAATTGTGTTTATATTATTTTATTAAACCTTTAGTCAAACAATTTGTAAAGGTTACACAGTTTTGAATCACCAAAAACCTTGTAAACTTGAAATTGTAAAATTTCCGACAGAATTTATTAAATTTATCGTTTTTAAATAATTAAAAAAAATATGTACAAAGCGGCCATTCACGGAGTGAATAGTAACTTTGTAAAATACGGAAATTTCGTAAAATAATTTTACAAACTTTTCCGAAATAGAGAGAAGCCAAGGAGCTGAATATGTTTACGAAAACTTTACTGGAAAATGTTTGTAAAATTTTTTAATAAGTTTTAATAGTTTACGGATTTTACAAAGTTGAAAGGGCGTGAATTGCACAAAAATTTGGCTTGAATCTTTTGGCTCACCGTCCTGCAGCGTGGTGGCGACGGTGGGGCTGCTCGAGGGTCCGGCACCCTTCGCGTTGAAGGCCTGCACAACGATGGCGTATCGTGTAAATTTTCGTAAATTGTGAATCGTCGTTTCACCCCCAAAGTCTTGACCAACCTGGAAATAAAGAAAAGTGTGAAACTCAATACACAAACAACCACCGATCTTTTTATGAGTAATTTCAAAAATTTGCAGAAAAATTTTCCAAACATACTTAAAACATAAAATAAGGAAGTTTAATTAAAGTTTTACAAGAAATAATAGATTTGGTAAATAAATATTCTTTTTGTGATTCACTCGAATATTTACAACCACCTAAATTTACAAAGGTTTACACAGGTTATGGAGAAATATCTTGCTAAAATCTATAACTTTTTTAAATTTTGTATATATTAATGTTACAAAACTTTTCGAAGCCCCCTGCGTTGCAAAATCTGAATGCATAGGGACAAAATAAATTTTGAAAATTTTATTATGAAGATACAGCAGGTGTAATTTTTACTTCAAATGTTTGTACAACTTGGACGAGTTTAGTTGAAATTTGAGAGTTTAAACGATTAAATGAAAAAATAGGTGAGTGGCAGAGTGGACTATGGGATTTCACTAACTTCGGTCAAACACTACGAGTATGAAATGTTCAGCAAAAATTCATTCAAAAATGGCTCGAAAATTTATCTTCATTTGCTTCTCAAAAAGACATATTTTGCAAATCTTCCAATTTTGTACTACTGAAAACCCGACTTTCTTGAAACTTTATACACAACACAACCCTGTAAAAAGAAGTTCTATCACCAATTTTCCACTTTCCCCTTAAAAAATAATCGTCCAGATACTTTCTCTCGATTCATTTCGCTTCACTGAGTGAAGTTCACTCATTGCACATCACTAAAGATTTGCAAATAATAATCTCACGCTGTGTCATCATCACGTCAGGGCGGTTATTTATTTACGAAAAATATATGTATCTACTTAATATTTACGAAAAGACCAAAATCGTTACGAAATTTTGATGATGCTCAGAATTTTTTGTTGTCCAATTTCATTCAGAAAATCAAAATTTGCCTCACATCGTTGAAATATTTGTTAAAATGAATATATTTACATATTAAAAAACATATAAAGCATTTACATTGTTTTCAAATACCAGCAAAAATATTTATATGCCTGAAAAACTAGAAATAATTAACAATATCTGCGAGATAGGCGACACACGCACAAAAGTTTGACTGTCAGTTGTCAGTCGTCATCAAATAAAGAAGTTGAAAATAAATTCATATCCGCCCTCTGATCATTACCTTACTTACATCGCAGCAATAATCACCCAATATTCTCCTCCTCCTGGGCGGCATGACTTTTTCACTTCCACTCTTCACCAAAAAAGAGAAAGTGCATAAGCGAGAAAGAAAGTGGATCCCTCCGCGGGGACCCGTTAAACGACTTAATGCTCTCATTTGGCCCGTGAAAGGGATCCCCGGCCCAAGAAAAAGTTCAGTCATTTGCGAAAACAATAGGAATCTGGAATTCAATGCGTGGAAAATTTTTGGAAAACTATTCACATTTTATTCCTCCAGTTTATGGGTCAATTGAGAAATTTAGTTTTATCGGGTGTCTGTCGATTGTCCTCCTCTTCCTATTTAGGAGGAAAATGAGAAAAGTTTTTGCTGTTTGATCTTTAATATTTTCATGGAATCAATCAGAAGGGGAATAAGGAGAATGTATGATAAAATTTTTATGAAAATATTTGTAATACATGCAAAATTTTGTTGTGAAGTAACGTCAGCTTTGAAATTTTGAAAGTGTTGATATTCTTGTTTATTGGTGAGAAGATATTAAGTTCATATGAATTTTTGCAAATTGTGCTAAATTGTTTGTCATACTTTTGCGTTTAAGTGGAAATTGTTATGACATTTTCACCAAATTTGGTATATCGAAACCACTTACGATGCATCTGGTTAAAAATATTATATAATTATATGTAAGCTCTAGAAAAATATTAAAACCGCTAAACATCCTTGTCTAAAATAATTTCGTTTTTTGTGCACTTCAACAAATATTACGTCTGAAAAACAACTGGAAATATGCACTTATTTTCAGCATAATTGTGTGCGTAGAGTAAGCCTAAGCAGCACAACGCCATACTCAGAATAGCATCATACCAATTTAGCCAATAGTTTGCAAAATAATCTTGCAAAACCTTCCCCAATTTCTGGGTAATTGGGAGTTAATTCATACATTTTTTAGCCAAAAAACAGAGTGTAAAACTCGCAAACTTTTTCAAGTTATACTTCTTTGTTAAGATTGTCGTACGTGTACCTAATGCATATTTTCCTACGCGAATTAAATTTGACGAACCTTGAAGCTCCACAAAATTGCAAATATTTAAATATCAAATTTACCTCCACTGTTTTGAAGTGATATCCATGCAAATCGGCTAAATTTCCGTATAAATGTGAATGTAGCAAGGTCCTCCAATTTTCTCCCGTCATGGTCACTCCCTCATTTCCATCCTCTTGTGAAAGCAGCACGGGGTGATCGGCCAGAGCGAGGGAGAGTTCTCGGTAGCCGAGATAGTAGCCTAAAATCTGCCCGTGCCAGAGCGCCCTTTCTGGCGGGGCCCAACGGACCCTCAGTCTCGTGGAGGAGTCCGCTTCCGCCACGATTTCGATGGGCGGGCCTTCGGGAGCTTCCTCGGTCGTCGTGATCTGCACGACTTCCGAGGGCGGGCTGAAGCCGACCCCGTTTTGGGCGAGGACGCGGAGGTGATAAGTCGACGAAGGGGTTAGGCCTTCGACCAGCGCGGTGGATTGGGTGGCGGGAACGGCAAGTTCTTCGACTTCGGCTTCTGTCCAGGTTTCTAGAATGAAGGAAAAATAGGAGTAGTTTTTGTCGGGAATATTATTCAAATTAAAATTAGGCTTTTCTTACTATTTATGTACATAAATAGTAAGAAAAGCCTAATTGAACATAGGATGATAAATGGTAACAAAATCGTGTAGTCACATCACTACGAGGCTTTACCAAGCAAACAAAAATTTATCGCCGAATGGTGTCACAAATTTCCGAATAACCTAAAATTGACAATTTCAGGTGGTTAAAAATTTGGTAACAAATTTGAATCTCTCGAAAATTATTGTTACCAGCGTGGCAACAGGTGACAAAGATTCGTAGCAGAATTGTATCCTAAATTTCTAAGAACCTCAAATTTGACATTACCCGAGTAAAAATTGGTAACAATTTTGAATCTCGTGGAAATTAGTGTAACCCGTTTGGCAACAGAGCCATTCACGTGATGATGATATTATTATCAACTTATATACAGATCTGTAAATGTACCGAGTATTCATTTTCGTACCTATTTTTAAATATTACTTTTCGCCCAAAAAATCTAAAATATTTATGCCGGTTTCTTATTCTACCAAAATAATTGCTTGCTATTTATTCAACTGCCAACAGCAAATTCATTCCACGACACGCCTCATTTGCATACCACGCTCATTAAAAACCTTATTGTTTCAACAGATTGGACTCGTTTTCTTGTTTGCTTTCTCCAATTAAAAACATTTCTCAAAATTCAAAACAATTTCTCATTAAATTTATTTAAATTATTTCTTTCCTTCCCGAAAACATTTCTCGTCTTGTTAGTCTCTACATTAATTTCTTTCTCCGCTGAGCCAAAGGAGGAGAAAGTGGAGAAAGTGAGCCTAATAATAAAATAATAATAATGATAGCAAAACAAGCATGAAATTCAATGAAGTCATCTTCACAACGATAACCGGGTATTTTACCCGGGTTAACACTCTTAGTAATTGGAGAATAAAATGGTCACCGAGTTGGTAACAATTTTCAAGCGAATATCTCACTTACAATGCGATGGTGTGAAGTGTAACCCTCCGTCTTGGTTGAAATCTCGAAATTATGTGGTCCATGTCAATACAACCAATGTTTCTTCAGGCAGTTTGTGCGATGGTCAAAATTTTCCAAAATATTTGAGGTCAAAGTTGAAAAACGGGCGATTTTTACCAGGCGGAGGAAGCAAACTCAACTTCCATTCTCTTCTCGTGCTAAACATCGCCCGTTTTTCAACTTTGATCGCAAATAGTTTGGCAAATTCTGACTATCGCACAAACTCCCTGAAGAAGCGTTGGTTGTATTGACATGGACCACATAATTTCGAAATTTCAATCAAATCGGAGGGTTACACTTCACACCATCGCATTGTTAGTCAGGCATGCATTTATTTGTAACTTTGTAAAATAGACGAAATTTCAAGTGTATATTTGATCTGGGCTATTTAATTTCTATTTAAAATTTTACAAATTTTAGCTTTCGTCATCCTTACTTCTCATTATTTGACAAACAAATTAAATTGAAAACCCCGTTTCTTTTTTTCCTATCCTCGTCCTGAATACTGAAGCAATTCACGCAGGCCTTGGTAACATTGTAAAATTCATAAATTTTGAAAAATAATTTTACAAACGTTCCTAAAATAAAGAGACGCCCCTGATCTGAGCAAATTTATAAAAATTTGTAAGCTTATAGTTTCCTCAGAAATATTTGTAAAATGTAGTTTGTAAGATTACGGTTTCACTGATTTCACAAAGTTACCAATGACGGCGTGAGTGAATTGCGTAATTATTTCCAACTTTTACCAGAAATAAATCGTCACCCATTCGGCCAATTTAGATCCCCGATTATTTCGTGTGCTTGTTACCCGCCGCGAAAATGATGTCATATATTGAGATGACAATTACTTGGCCCGTTGGCTCCTGGGACAAGAAGGAAAAAGTGAGCGGAAGGAGAAAGCTGGGCATGAACGAGCTTCATCTGGGGAAAGATTTCTTTGCGAGTCGCGTGAACTGAGCCGTGTCTGGAATCTAATTTAATGGACTTCTTTCGGGAAAATAATTAAGAAATCTTCAACACGAAATGTGCGGACCTCTCTTTTCACTCTCTTTCCCTTTGACTTTCACTCCTCTCGTCAATCATAAATTCCAGTGTTTCGTTTTGGACGTCCAAAAGCGTACAAAACTGTACAAAATAATTTTGAAAAAAATGCCCAAAAACCAAAATGTCCATTGAAAAATATAGCAAAATGTTCTTCATTAATGATTTTTTGCAAATCTATGCAAAGATCTGTGATCTCACATTGATTTCGAGCATTTTGCTTGGTCTGTAATATCACGATATTTAAAAAAAACATGTTTCTTTTCACCTGTTTTCTTATGCAAAATTAAGAAACTTTCTAAACCATACGCATTTCACAGCAAAAAGCTCAAGATTAAGTCAAGATTATTAATTTATAATCCACCCGATTATCGAAAGATTCAATTTAGAAAAACTTTTAACATTTTGCCCCATTTTGTATTTTGACCACTTTTCGAAATTCCGAACGTCCAAAAACTAGTTGAAGCCGGTTTTTAACGGTTGTGTTAGAAAGTGGTTAACACCACAGAGAAACCCTGACAAATACCAACCCAACCCATCCCGAGCATGTTCCAGATTCGTGTAGTAAATTAAAATTAAAATGTGAAGTGAAATGAAATGAAAGTCAAAGTGGCCCACGTAGTGATGGTAATCCGTAACCGATCCTATCCTAGGATCGTAAAAACTCGGATAGGATCGGATTTTCACACGGATCGGATAGAGGATCCGAGGATCAGACAATCTGATCCGATCCGAACCGATGATATCCTAGGATCGCACAGGATCCTCGGATCATCCGATGTAAACTCGTTTCACATTTGGTGAGTTCATCACATGGCGTACATTACCCGAATGAGCCGAATTATTTTATTATTTTAATAATTTAATAATAAAATAATTCGGCTCATTCGGCTCATTCGGATAATGTACGCCATGTGATGAACTCGAAATAAAGAAAAGCAGCTGGTAAAGTATTTCCATAGTTAGACACAAGGTGTCTCACACATATCAAGTGAATCTTGGATCATCCGCGGATATCCTACGATCGATCCGATCCTAGGATCGGATCGCAACGGATTTCGTGTAGAACCGGGAGCCGATCCGATCCTAAAGCGAGCAAATCCGATCCGATCCGATCCTGTATTTATCCGATCCTATCCTACGGATCGGTTAATTTAGGATACGGATTACCATCCCTAGGCCCACGGAATGGATGCGAGGAAAGATAATTAATTTGCAGAAAGGAACACAGAAAGTATGGGCATTCAGAAGAGAAAGTGGAGCCGTTTGAAATTGGGGCAACGAAAAAATCACCCATTTTTTCTGGGAAATTAGTCAAAGAGAAAGTTGGAAAAATTGATAACATTTTTAACGGTAACGGAATGAAAGTGAGTTCTTGGCCGAATAAACAAGAAAAGTGAGGACAAATTGGGAAATAATAAATTTCTGACAGAAATCTAAATGCATATACGTTTCATAGTGATTTACATAACTAAAGACAGAACAGTATTTGAACCTGTTGTTCTTAAATGTATTGATTTTTACCCATTTTTTAAGTTCGGCGTAGAATCTGTGCACTCTTAGAAATGAAGTGTTAGATCAATCATATATCATTCTACCAAAGTAGTATTGATACGTAATACCGTGTAGTAATAGCTCGGTATTGAAGTTTTACAAATCGGCAATTAGAAAAATTTATACAACAAATAAATAATGCAAATGTTTAAGAATCTGTACACTCAAAATAAGGTGGTAATGAATCATTACCATGCGGAATCACTATGTGTCTCTACCACTTCGGTTACGATTTGTCGTAGAAATGGTAATAATAAGTTCAGGGAAATTCAAATTCATTACCAAATATTAAGGAACTGAATACCATTGTGTATTAATTTTGAATTTCCCTGAACTTATTATTACCATTTCTACGACAAATCGTAACTGAAGTGGTAGAGACACATAGTGATTCCGCATGGTAATGATTCATTACTACCTTATTTTGAGTGTATTTTAACATACACAAACCTTATTTAGTAGAATGTTATTAAGCGAGAACCCCCAGGATAATTTTGCAAGGAAATAATTGTCATTGTAGTATTATTGATTTGTTATTTAATTCTTTACGATGTAATCTAACCTGTAATTCTATGGGCCATGGGCCTTGTAAGAATTGTCATGAATAAATTATTATTATAAAAAAAAATATTAAATACATTACAACAAATAAATTCTTAACGGGAACGGAATGAAAGTGACAATTTATCGTAATAAATAAGAGATGACAAGAAAGCAGGACAAATCGGAAAACGGTAAATAACAAGTTTCTGAAAGAAATAATAATGATACGTTTTTAAGTACAAGATGTATCTTCATGTTTTTATTAGCCATTATTGATTTGCCATTTTTTAAGTTCGACGTGAAATCTGTACAATTTATATATGTATGACGAAGATTTTTCGTCACAAAATTGCTTGTTTCACCCTATTTTTGGCTACCTTTCGTTGTGACGATTTATTTTCATGCTTGTCTATTAAAAAAATGCAAATGAAAACCAATAAAATAGAGATCCCGTACTATATAGTGGCGATGGAAAACTTTGATCTAAAAATGGTCAAAAAATGATTCTAGAAATCTCCAATTTTGGTATGATATCCTAAAAATATATCCAATCATAGACATTCGCGAAGAAAGAAGACCGAAGTCCATTGTCCATCTCGTATTTAGCCTTTTTCATCACTCCCGCCATTAAGAAATCTAAAGTTTGGCTGGCATGGGTCAATTTGGGCATGTTTCGGACCCCTCAGTTTAAAAGGGCTGTGTGGTACGATGCGCATAGTTTGAATTAATCTTCGACTTCATGGCCGCATCAGGCACAAACGTGAAGCCGTGCTTTCCAAAGACAAGTTTAATCGTTTTTAATTTTCAAGGGGTCAATATGATGATTTTTTTCTTGTGGTGCGTATTTAAAGTTGATATTTTCGGATTCGCCATACTTTTTTATGTATGTCCTAATTTTTGCACGGCCACAACTCTCTCCGTTGAAATTTAGTCAAGCCTTCTTAAAATAAAATAAAAATAAATAAAATAATCCTTTAAAGTCAACAGATATCAGTTAAGAGCAAACTGGTTTCCAATCTATGACTGTCCTTCTCACCATATAACTCTGGTGATGAGTCGGATCTTCTCACAGAGAACGGACTCTGCGAGGGCTCCCCTTTCTGGCATTGCCAGACCGTCTGGCCGGGCTCACCCAACCATGAGAGGAGCACCCACCCCGTACTAACACCGAGCCGAGTAGGATTAGCAAATAGCTTCCCGGACAGAGAGGAATCGAACGTGTGACTGCGTGGTGACAGTTCCGCCCCCGATCCCCTAAGCCAATGGGCTATTGCTTCTTCGAGTCTTTGTCGCCCAGATTTTGGTACTTACAAAAAACTCGTTTCCCAACTTCCTCGCTTTGAAGTTACGTACGAAATTTGTTTTTCAAGGAAAGCTTATGAAATTTTGAGGACACATGGTCAGATATATTTGACATATTATACCTAAATTTGAGATATTAAGAATCATTTTTTGACCATTTTTAGGTCAAAGATCCCCATCGCCACTATATAGTACGGGATCTCTAGTTCACTGTCAAAATTAATTGTACAGTTTCTACGTCAAAGTTATAAAGTTGTTGTATAAAGGATAAATTTTGAAGATTCAGGTTATGAATTTCGATTTATTTTTGATCTATTAAAATGCAAATGAAAACGTGAAGAAATAGTTCACTCACTCTCAATTCAACAGAATTTGATAAACTTAAATATTCACCACGAACGGATGAGAAATTAATTTATATTTCGTACACACGCACGCCAAAATTGATTACATTTTTATTCCGTCCTCGAAACCGCATGAAATTATTGGAAATGATGAAAAATCACGAGGAAATTTATTTTTTAAATTCAAACCTTGTTGAATTCTTACCTGAGGGGAATTTGCTCTGAATGATGAAGTTGATGAGGGGACTGTTCCCGTTGAAATTTTCCAACCAGGAAATCCCCACCGAATGGCTCCCCACCTCAACCACGCGCAAATTACCAGGCTGCTCGGGAGGCTCTGGAAAAATTAGTGCAAAATTTAGAAATAATACTTTTTGTTTCCTGCAAATATTTTTCATCTACTCTAGAAATTTATTGTTTTGGAAGAGAACAGGAATACATTTTTGACTAAATTTTGAAAAATGCATGTTTTCTCAAATAATTTTGGTTTTGTACCTTTTTAACGTTCAACAAAGTTGAAGATTTTACCTATTAAGTAGCCACCATTGGGTTATATCATGTTATGTTATCAAATCTGGTAACCCGTATTTACAGTATTACGAAATAATTTAATTATTTTCGGCATCAGAACGTGTAAATGTATATTGAGGGTTTTCACGTCACCTTCGTAACTGTCGTAACTCTCGTAAATAGCGTAAATTTACGACATCTATGAAAATTCCATGCTTACGAAGCTTCGTAAATATACGCAAGGTTGAGGCATCTTTTTCGTTCGTAAAAAAATTTTGTAAGCATAAAAAATCATGATATTTCGAACACCATAGTTACCGATGATATTAGGCAAGGAAAAATTAAAAATAATTTTTACGAAATCTTTTTTACGAAGGGTCTTTCACGTCAACCCGTCGTAAATAACGTAAATTTACGCATATTTTTTTACGAATCCACAGTTACGAAGGTCGTGAAAACCCTCATTATTGCGTTAATAAATTCCGCTTTTCAACAAGTTTTATTTTTCCCAAAAATATGGGAAGGTTCCCTGTCAAAAATAATTAAATTAAGAAGTTCTCGTATGTTCAAGGGTACTGAGTAGATGAAAATCCTTGCTTCAAAATAAGAAAATAACAGACTGTAAGTTCAGAACCAAAATTATTTGAAAAAATACCTTCTTCAAAATTGGTTCCAAAATTATCTCATGAATTGTTATTAAAAATAAAAAGATTTTGACGATTTTTGCGATGAGTCATCCAGTCCTATGTTGTTAATTTTAGACTCGATTTTCGATTTAAACATGATTTTTTCCCATATTTATGAAAATATTTCACTTTTTGCTAACCTTGCACGTTGAGCGTGACGATGGTATGATCTGACCCGAAAGGATTGGAAGCTCGGCATGAATAAGCTCCAGAATCGCTCCGGTCAACGGAGGCTATCAGCAATTCGGATAAGATACCATCCTCTAATTCTTGCTGGCGAAATGTGTATCTAGAAAGTGGCAGAATTTGGTCAACATTATATCAGATTTATCAGGAAATCAAGGAATTTTTAATAATTTGAAAATAAGTGGTTTTTGAATAAATGGTTGAATTGGGCCATGTGGAATTTATAAGGTGATCCCATAATTTGCAAAATTATGCAATTTGCAATATGTAAATAAATGTGCCCATTTTGGGTGGCAAATATCATTACCAAAATTGATACTAATACGGTATCAATTTTGTGATTACATAATTAACAATCAGGTAATTCACGCAGATATTGCTAGCTTTGTAAAATCCATAAACCTAGAAATCTTTACAAATTTTTTCACACTTCCTCAGATCAAGGACTTCCTTTTATTTAGTAAAACTTACTGAAATTATTTTACAAAGTTACCAAGAAATGCGTGAACTGCCTCAGTTCAGTATATCAATTTTAGGACCACCTTATTATATTCTTCAATTTTTGAATTCATAGTTTACTATTTAAATTATAATTAGATTACTACATTTTTATCATAAAAGCATTTTTTTGCTAATAAAATTTGGAAATAAAGTTTTACCTATGATTCGAATGTGGCCCTATTTTGCCGTGTTTGTTGCCCCATTCGATCTGAATTGGAAGGTCGCCACCGATTCGGCAGCCAAGAATTGCTTTCTCCCCGAATCGCACGGAAATCACGGAATTTGCTGCCTGTTCCTCCGCGTTAAATTTGGCAGGAGCTGAAACATAAACATTTAATTTGTTTACAAAAGGCGTTAGGACATGGTTTTGACGAATTCGCGGGTGAATATCTCTGGCGGGGAGTTGAATTTTGAACTGATTTTTGGTCAGTTGCAAGATAATACTCTCAAAAAGATATGTTTAAAATTTTAGGCCGATAGCTTTATAAATGCCCCCTCCAGTGCCCCCAGAGTTGGAAGGAGCAAAAAAAACACTTTCCAAACTGAATTACTCATATAGCATGATAACCTAAGAGGTCAGAGGTGAATGATTATTAATATTACCACCCTAGATAATCATTGCATTTAATTATAAAATAATCCACAATGAATTACATAACGTTGGGCCTCCATCGTCGCTGATACTTTTTCATGAAAAGTGATCAATCGGACCGTGCATAGGAAAATTGACCTGCTGACCTTGAATGCGGATCCACTCGGTCAAATGAAGATTGAGGGCAAAGCTCTCAATCTTCAAGTGTCCCAAATAATATTAAATTAAACAGTGAAGATTTTGTGTAAACAGTTTTGGAGCAGGACCCTAGCGAATCAGCTGTCGCGGAATCCTAAAAAACTCGTGAACTAATTTGGTAAATTAATGGTCAAATTTTTTCGAAAATAAATTTTACTAATCTTTTTGTGTCCCTTACTGCAGAACTATTTTATCTACAAGGTGCAAGTGACAAAATAATAAAATTATTGCGTTTTGGTTAGTTAAATTATTTCTGAAGTTCGACATCGAAAACGACGGGAACTTTTCCAATAATTTTACAAGGTCTGATGAAAACTCAGTCCGTGGGGTGTAACCACTTATCAAAATTTTGTCAAAAGTACTTACAGTGCAATATACTATATGTACCTTGGATAAAAACCACGTTAGGGATTTTTAGCATAAAAGTCGTAAAATGTGGGGGCCTTGAAAGTGGAAGAGTTGCGTTAAAGAGCGCATTCCATTAGGACAAGTATGAAATTAGACTGCAAAACGGACTTAAAAGATACGCATAAGGCAAACGTGGTTTTATATAGTGAAAAGCATGCTAAGTCCCTTAAAAATAGTCGCAAAGACGATTTTTGCATCAGGACCTCAGAAAAAAATATCTTGTTCAACGCCATTTTATAAGTACACTGGTTTGGAAAACTAAAAAAGGACACCTCTCCAAATTTGACCTTGCCTCATTTCGCAGAATACACAAAATCGGAAGCCAGATATGCTTACCTATAGTTTGAGACATGGGCTTTCACATAAAAAAAGTTAGAAATCTCTACGACTAAAAACCATCCCGCAATTAAGGTATGAATTCGTCAAAACCATGTCCTAACGCCTTTTGTAGTTAACATACTATTTTTAAAAGTTAAGATAAAATTGTGCAAACAATTTGAATGTAACAAATATTCTTCCTTAACGTTATTAATAAAATTAGTACGCATATATCATTGAGGAAACTCAGATGTATAGCAGTCAACTCTGTAAATTTTGTACGTAGTTGTAGAAAATTGGAATTTTTATCTTTGCACAAAAATTACTAAAGTTTGGTTGACACATTTTTTAAGTTATATATCAACGACGTTTATCATGTTTGCAAATGTTCAAGAAAGCTTATTAATTTTTATTCAGGTGGGTCAGCGTGTTTTCATTGTTGACAGTATTAGTCTATTCTTTATTTGTTGCAATTGAGGGATATTTATAACTCAATCAGGTTTAAAATTATGCAAATTCTGTAACCGTAAATTCGTGAAGTGTTAAGATCTACTCTAATTTTCCATAGCAGGGTTATTTTTGGAAGATAAAATAATTTCCCAAAATATCGATATAACCTATTTATTTGAATAGCTTAGATTCCTGTCAATTTTTTAGAAAATTTCTGTACCCCAACAAATACTATATCTACTACTATTAATCTCGATTTTTCTCATAGAATTAAATTATTAATAAAAGGTGAAATAAAAATATTAATCACGTCGAAAACCAAAGCACAATTATTTTTTTCTGTAAAAAGTGACTGACTTCCAACCAATTCCCACTTAATAAAATATCTCACGGAGAAAGTTCCCAGCTCAATGGCAGACTTAATCCCATCCATAAATCAGACAATCTCGAGACAAGTTTCTCTTTTGGCTACTTTCACTTCGCCACCTTTTTGGCTCATGTCATAAATATTATCTTATCTTCGCCTCATCTCATTTCAGCTCATGATTTGATTCCACACCTTCTTCTTCACTCACTTTTTACTTACATTCATCAATATTTACACAGATGGGAAACTTTCTCTGAGCAAAAAAACCTAGATTTTCGTTTCTTCTCGTTGAACAAAGTTTTTTTTCTCCTTTGACGGTAACAAAGCAGAAGAGCGATATTTTTTAGCCTGGAGAGACAACTCGAGACAAAACAGGACTCGATTCGCTTTCACTTCGTGCTTTCTCTTTGATTTTACAGGGAAAAGAGTATCAGTGTCGTGTGCATTACGAGAGGATGAGGGTAGCTTATCATCAGTGATGGGTAGCCGGGGGATAGCAATAGGTTTGAAGAAAGTAGGGTTGGCGATACAGTGTTTTTTTGTTTTTATTTGGTTCAATATGGTGTTTATGCAACAGGGTATTCGTAAAACTTTGTCTTACTTTTTAGTAAGTTGTTTTTTACATCACATTTAAGTTTTTTTTTGTCAAAAGTTCGATTTCTCAAACCTAAAATTTGCAATATATTGTGCGGTTGAAACGTCGAAGTAAAAAATGGGCACAAATATTGAATTTTTTAACGTCGTAGATAAGTAGGATTCCATCCATGAATTTGAGCGCCTAGTCCCTGGTATTACAGCATTGTAAAATCCGAACATTCTGTAAACTTACAAACTGCTACAAAATGTTTCAAATATTTCTAAGGAAAATTTGTCCCATAATTTTTTTTAAAACCTTGCTCAGATCAAATGCGCCTCTTTATTTTGTAAAAGTTTATATTTTTTTACGAAACCTACAGGAATTGCATAAGTTCCCAAGAACTGCGTGAAGTGCCTCGCATTCGTGTTTGTTATGTTTTTTAAGAATTTTATTTAGAAACTGTTTTGTCCGTTTGTGTTATCAAGCAAAAAATAAATGCCGAAAAATCTCGCACCGATTTCCATTTCAAACACGAAAAGCTCCATCGCCGAACGAAACCCTATTTGTGCCTTTGAGTGAGTCTATGTAAGCAGGAAAGTCGGCCCTCTCATCCATCCACGTAAGGCGATAACAGTAAAACATTTACGCAGAAAGTTGTCCAAGAAAGCAGGTGACTTCTTCTCCCAGTCCCACTTTAACTCAAATATTGATAACCTCCCCACTCAGAGATAAGCTGCTAAATAGATAACAGCCAAAGTTTGCATTCACAACAACTTTCTTTCTCCTCCTCGTATTTAGATTTAGTTGGAGAGGGTAACCTAAAACCTAACCACAAAACCCGGGTAAGATGTTTCTTTAATCAAGATACAACAGAAAGAGAAGAATAAGAAATACAGATCTTGTGTAAATTCGATTTTCACTCGGAAACTTTCACCACTTTAAAGTCGAGTCGGTTCTAGAGTTGTGCTTGTACCGATGGCCAAGGAATTTGTGGCCCGATTTTCCTGCTATTTAAATTAATTCCCCATAAAGCAAAATATCAGGCAATTATTAGCTCACCCTGCGTAGCACGGGAGCTATTGAATTCCTCTTGTCCGTCCGTCCGTCTGTCTGTTAACGACCTTTTTGCATCAATTGATGCTAATTAAAATGTACCAGGTCCATTTTATTATAAATTAATAGCACCATTGGTGTCTAACAATTGGTAACACAAAATGATGCGAAATAATTGGAGGAAGCGATGTACAACGCACCAATAGTGCAGAATATCCGGAAAAGATAATCCTACAATTTTGACATAAAGTTTTGAAAGTTAAATATGGACCTTGGTCTCTCATACTGCGCAGGTGGTGCATACTAATTCGGGCTTTTCATCATTTTTCCGTTTATATTGCACCCTTGGTGCAAGAATATATAAAAATTATGATCTCTTTTGTCGGCTTTTTCCGCACCTTTGGTGCAAAGTTATATGTATATCATTATGAACCTTATTTTGTCGCCTTATTCTACACTATTGATACAAAAAATCTCAAAATTCTACATCTACATATTCCGATTCTAATGCACCAATGGAACCAACTTATTGGAGTTTTATACTTATTTTGTGCACTTATGCGGCACCATTGGTGCAAAATTATATACATCCTAATTTACATATATTGCAGGGGAGCTACTTCTAACGTTACTACGGTTTATTATTTTAACGTAAATTTTATGTAAATTTGAACCAAATTTTAATTTCCTTAATTTCCACACGTTAAATGCAGCATAAAATCAGAGGAAACGTTCTCACCTAAGTTGCATCGATATATTGCATATAAAGTAATAATCGACTTTTGCCACGTCAGTTGTTCAATTTACGTGAAAAATTCAAAATGTGTTTTAAAAAATATATTTCCGTGGATCTTTTTGAGAGACACATAGTTTGTGATAGAACAATTTGCGTAACAAAATCGCCACCGTGTATTCATGATGTAGCTACTGTTTCATTTGCTGGGACTCTGAAATCGAGGATAGAGTTTTACAAGGGAACTGGCCAAGGTGTACAGCTCCTCCCCTGTTGCATGGATCCGCGATTACATTACCCGAATCAGCCGAATTATCCTATTATTTAACACCAGTTATTTTTATTTTGGCGTTCAACTTATTCAGTTTCGTATGACTTCTACGCCAAAATAAAAATAATAGAAGTAGAAATCATACGAAATTGAATAACTTGAACGCCAAAATGAAAATAAGTGATGTGAAATACTAAAATAATTCGGCTGTTCGGGTAAAGTAATTGTGGATCCATCCATTATGGGAGGAGCAGCTGTACACCTTGGCCAGTTCCCTTTTAAAACTCTATCCTCGATTTCAGAGTCCCAGCAAATGAAACAGTATTGTCGCTCTATAAAATTGGTTATGTTCCGCTGATTGGGAACCAAAATTTTTAGGAGATTCAAACTTTTTACCCCTTGAAATCGATTTTTACCAAGAAGAGTACGCTGCAATTTTACGAAGATTTTTTACCACTGCATGGAAGTTATGACATGCCATATTTGCCTGCTGGCAAATTAAATTAAAGCAAAATACCCAAAATACAGGACAAATAATTTCATATAATTTTTCTCTATAAATATTTCAGCCTGGTCTTAATATTTGGAATTTCCACCTCAACATGACTTGTCAAAACAATCTGGGAGACTGTTGGACATAAATTACATTACCTTATTTCGAAGAAGATAATAATCACCTTTTGACACGTAAGTTACCCAAGTTAGGATAAAAATTCAAAATGTGTAAAAAATATATTAGTTGATTTTGAAAGAAACATAATAAGTCTAGAGCCTTGGTAGAGCCCACACGATTTTATTACTACTTATTCTGAGTCCATGTAACAAATGTTTAAAATGAACTTCTGCCATTCCTGAAAAACTGCATTTGTTTACATATTTCATGCCCTGCCCATCCCACAATTCTACTCTAATCGTTGTTACGTAACCCCATAAATAGTTGGACCTAACCATGCACACAGATCGACAACAATTTCATTACATTGAGCTCTCTTCAATTGCCAAACTTTCCTCTGAAGAAAAGAAAGTCTTTAAAAAAACAATCTTTCCCCGGAAAGAAAATATCGTCAGAAGTTTAAAGCAGTGAATGGGAATGGAATGAAAGTCAGATTTCTGAGAAGAGGAAGATAAGTGAGAATTATTCTTTTTTTCACTTAAAAAAACGACTTAAAAAGAAGTGGGACATTAAAAAACTAGGAAATTTAAAAACATCTGTTTTTTTGAATTTCCTATTTTTGAAACATCGTTTTTGAAAAACCAAAAAGAAAAGTGGAATTTTTCTAAGGTTGGAAATTTAAATAGCATGAAGTGGAAAATTTAAAAAAAGAGAGCTTTCTTTGCAACGACTCCACATCCACATTAATCCACATCCACATCCACAATAAATTCCAAGATAAGTCATTGTTTTTAACGACGCTTATCTGCAAACGTAAGTAAACTTTCTGGCTTCATTGTTCCCAGATTAGAAGGACCACACACGCACTCAAGCCCAATTCTTTATATTCTATGCTCAAGCCTCTCGTGGGATTAGAATTTCTCTAAATACTTTTGGTCTTAACTTTCACTCACTCGACTCTGTCCAACTTTCTCTCTCTCTTCATGCCGTCATCTAATTAATCCGGGTAATTAATTAGAGACAGACTCGTTTCCGGGTGGTGGACTTTCTCCGACCCGGGAGAGGGAGAAAGTCAAAGCAGGGACAGAGAGGGATTCACGATCACAGTTTGGCGAAAGGCAAATTGGCAAAAGCAATTTTCGCCAATGTGGTAAAAAATATCATGAATGTAACACTTGACGAAATTAACGTCGCACTTACGTAAAACGTAACGTAAAATGTAAAATTTCTAAAATTGTATTTGGCGAAACATAAATTTCGCGCTAATTTCGTGTCAAATCACTTAAAAGTTAAATAAATTCTTATAATGTTATTAGCTAATTTAAGTTATTTTCGATGAAAGGTGATTTAAAAACATTTGGTCAAATGTATTGCAAAATAGGTGAATTTTGTTTTCGCCAAATGTAATTATTTCATGGTGAAAGGTTTGCGCCAAAAATGTTTTCGCCAAACCGACCGTCTTCACAGGGAGCAACCCACCAGCAGGTTATGTATTGTCATTGTCGCATTATGCAAATTAGGGTAAACATGACACTCAAAAGTAAAGTCGACAAGATCCACTAACCGTTAACTTTGAGGAAGATGACTTTGGAGAGGCCGGAGCCCACGTCGTTTCTCGCCTCGCACAGATAATTCCCCTCGTCCGATTTTCGGACTTGGTCGAATCTGATGGTGCCGTTGGCGAAGGGGGACGAGCTTCCGGTGGGGGAAAGGATGTCCTTGTAGTCGCCCGGGTGCATGCCTGGAGCGGAGATACGAAAATGAGAAAATGAGTTACGTATTGAGTGAGAGAAAGATGAGCGAACAGGGAAAATGCGTAAAAATTGGTAACATTTTGTAAAATGTATTTTTTAATAATAGAATGGGGACTAAACTGGAAACAAAAGATTATCAATGCATCACACAAAACAACAAAATTACGCATTAATAACCAGTAATAAAATAAAATTGGTAACAAAAAAACAATCTCAGCAAAGTCACATACTCAAAACAAACAAATTAGTAACAAAATTAATAATACAAATTATCAAATTGATGCTACTAAAATCAGTAATAGTACGAAAATTGTTAACGAAAATTGTTAACGAAATCTGTTACCGCCAAAAAAACCCTGGGGTAATGGAAATTTCTAAAAATTTCCACGAATGTAAGTATGAATTTATACCGTACCGATGGCCCTTTTCCACGTGATTGCCGGGGTGGGATGGCCCTCGGCTCGGCACTGAAGTGAAAGCGAGTGTCCCACCGATACGTTGACGTCTCTCGGCTCCAAAATCCACTTCGGCGGAACTGCAAAATTATCAACCATTAATGATCCCTAATTTCAACTAATTGTCCATTTCTGGGTAGTCTGGGATCATAGGAGAACACAAAATTGGGGTCAGCTTACTTAATTATCATGGCATGGGTCATCTTTACGATATTAGTGCTTCATCCATAATGTCCATGTTTTTTGCATAGCGCAAAGTTTGTACAAGGGCTTTTGCATACTAAATACTTAATTTTCTGGAATTTAGCCAAAATTATGCACTTTGTTCAGACACTCAAAGACTCAAATGTTACATATTTTTGGTAAATTTTCTACTGATTACATTGCTTGAAACATTTTTGTATTTCTAACTAATTTTGAAATTCTGCACTTTTTTGAAGCGAAAACAATACAGTTTTTTCCCGAATCGGTTTTGCAAGTTGGTATTATGCAGTTTGAAACATGGCTATATTTTTAACAAGTCAAATTTGCTTGCAAAATTCTTTCCCATTTCTGCAAACCAGTATTTCAATTATGATGTGAAACTAGTGTAGAAGCCCGTCAATCGAAGTGCAAAATAGGCCCGTCGATAAGCCCGTTACCCCAACATAAGCGAAGTTAACCTCTCCTGTTCTCTCTGCAGAGTGGAGAGAGAAAAGGAGAGGCTAACTTCTCAACTAAGCCACCGACCCAGCAGCGATACACTCGCCTGCTTTATATAGTTTAGATATTTAAAATATTATGCAATTCTCCTCCTCAATTTTTTCAACTGTGTTAAATTATTTTCCATTTTCGCAAATTAGTTTTTCAATCATGTGAAAAAATGTATCATGCAATTCTTTTTTACTTTTCTGCATTCATAATTCTCCTACTTTTTTAATATGTTTTTGCAAAATTATTTCCCATATGCGCAAACTAGTTTTTCAATCATGTTGTATTATGCAATTCCTATTTCACTTTTCTGCATTTAGAATTTTTCGCATGGATTCGCAAACTCTGCAAAAACTCATTGACAACCTTGTCTCTCCCAACTTTTGCGTCAGAAAACTAGGCCGACTTTCACTCACTGACTTTCTTGACCCGACTTTCCCTAAAATTTGACCACGAGCTGAAACTTCATTTTCCATCGAAATCAACTTTCTCCGTCCGCTACCCACAAGGAGACAAAGACGGATAGAAAATCGAAACGCGTGGGTTTGCGGGGAGGAAGTTGAGTCGCTATTACGACCCTTAGTGAGACATGAAGTTGGTATTTTTCCCATCGAAAGTAAACGCGTGTCATTAATCTTCTCCCAGAAAAACCAATCTCATCTCCCAATCCACTCCACAAACGCATCGCGCTTGACCCCCTGCGTCCATCTCACACCCAGCTGGACATCGGAATGCGGCAAGGTTTGCAAAAATTATGGGGCAAAATTGTGTGTGAATGTCTGCAAGGCTTTCATAATTACTGTTGAATAAAAATAAACAATTTACATGCCGAATTTATATGCCGATTCATAAATGCAAAGCTTCAGAGTACATTTATTATATTATTTAGATATTTACCTCATCGATTAGTTTGACAATGTTAAGAACAATAAACGCAACATGTTAAAAGCAAAAACGGGCAATATTTTATTAAAAACCAAAGAACACGCAAAATTGACACACACCCCAAAAAAATCCTAGAACTCAATAAACCCAACAATAATCTCGTCAAAATTACACAATTTTACCAATAAAACCCTACCATCCTGCGAACCTTGTGCCACTCAAGTGATCAATGTTGAACTCTTTCGGAGTACAACTTTCTCCCAGCTTTCTCTGACTTCCTCATTTCTCTCCCTGGTTCCCTCATCTCTCCCGATACCCGGGCAACGCACGGCTCAAACCCGAAAACACATTATGGCATTTGGCAGAGGAAATAATGGGACGATTAATTCCCTCTTCGGCCTCATCCCAGACAAACCAACGCGACCACGTCGTAAGAGATTCACGGCCAGAAAACCATCCATCCGTCCATCCAACCACCAATTCTTTCCCCTTTTAACGAGATAAAGAAGTCCCGGAAGCTCGATTTAGCGCGACGTGACACATTTTTTACGTATTTATTACCCACATCAGACGTACTTCGTGACGAGGAGGAATTTTTTTTCGGGGAAAATTCATCATCGAAATTCGATGCCATCATCGAAAATTATTCAAAAGTCAAAATGCATAATTTTATGGGATGAGGTGGTACAGGACAGATATTGAAATTACGCAAAATTGGGGATAAATTATTCATATGGATTTAGGGGAATGTCTGTAAACTGTGAAATTTTTGTAAATTTTAATGAAAAAACATTTGTCAATTTTTGACATTTTTGTTATAAATGAAATTATTTTGAACTGATCAACGTATTTGTACAAAACCTACAGGTAATTCATCTTCATAAATTCTACAGAAATCGCAAACGTCATTGTGGTCGGTCAAATTGTTATTTTGAAAATTTTAATTATTTTACCACTTACAAGCAAAGACCACTTTTGGAATAGGTAATCCAATATAAAACTCATTATTCAAAAATTGGATACATTGTGTATAAAATTATTTACTCACTTTGCACCGTAAGCTCGGAAGAATAGTGTTCTCGTCCCGCTGAATTTTCCGCGATGCAGGTGTATTTCCCTAAATAAGGAAATTTTAAAATTAGCTATTTTACCCAAAACTTTAACAATTAATTAAATGAATTGATGTCACGCACCGTTATGCACCGAAGAAAGGGAGTCGATCACCAAAGTTGACGAATACTCGTCCGGAACTCGAATCGTAATGCCCTGTGAGAGTAGGGGCAAATTAACTTAAAATTATTGCACGAGGTATTGACATGTAGATAAGCACGATGACAAGATAAGACCACAAACTAACTAGGTACATATGTGGACAAAATTACTCCATGCGAATATTTGCGTCGTGATTGCAAGTCGATTTAGCAAATTGCGAAAAGGGTAACGTTAAAAAAATGGATCTTCTTCTCCTAACGCCATTGGTCAAAATAAGAACTATTAGATTTTCGGGGACTATTTGTATCATTTGAAAGTCGATTTAGTAAATTATACAAAAATAAGTTATGGTAATTGAGTTTCCAGATGTGACAAGGAGGAAAAAACAATCTGAAATGGATTTCATACTTGATTTCTCTATATTTGCCTACATTTTTTTAACAAAATTTTTCATAAATTCTGTCCAACTTATGTTTCTTACTCCTAAATTTCTCAGATTTTGCATGAATTTTGCTATCAGAAATTTATGAACTCTCACATTGGCCACTCCTCCCGAGATTGTTTTCCCTTCGAATTCCCAAACGAGATCGATGGGTCGATCGCCCTCGAGCAGTTGGCAGGAAACCGCCGCCCGCATGCCTTCCCGCAAAACCGTGTTCATGAACTGGAACGGCATCAGCTTCGGCGGAACTGCAGAGACACAAATTTGGTTCGGATGTAAATTAAACCGTGATCATCACCAATTTCGAGGAAGACGAAATTTTACGGGGTACTTTGTATCATGAAAAATTTATGGGATAAATGAAACCATGTGAAATATTTGAGTGGCATGGAGGAGATCAAATTTTGTCACAAATTCGTCATCAAAAAGATATCAGGTTTAAATTTACAAGAAAGTTTGATGAAATTGGGCCGTTTAATAAAACTAAACTTTGCAGGTAGAATTTGTGTATTAACTACACAATTAAAATACAGTAGGGTAATTCGCACAGAACTTTGCAACATCGTAAAATCTGTAAATTAACAAACTTTCACGAATATGAAAATTAGCTTAACAAAACAAAATTAACTTACACAATTTTGTAAGTTTACTCGGATCAAAGGCTTCTTTTTATTTTGAAAAGAGTTTGCAACCTAATGTGACAAAATTTAAGGATTTTATAAAGTTGCCAAGGACTGGGCGAATTGCTTCAGTTTACCAAGGTTTACTGATTGAGGTTGTAAAATAAATACGAATTGTTTACTATAATTGAATTGTGGAAATTGGACTTCTAGATAAATTTAAAGGGCTTGCTTATAAAAATTTTGCAGATCGAATTCTCGAATGTTATGTCAATTAACAGCAAATAGATCCTACCTAATAGTTACTAAGCTAATTAAATTTTCGAACGAAATTCAATGTGGCATTGAAATTTGTCAATCACCGAATTTTTCATTCGTATCTTTATTGTGCAAATTTTATAAAATTGGATTGAGCGGGATGTATACGGATTGAGGTTGCAAAAGATGAATTTTTTTATTATTAATATTTTGAAAATTCTAATTGTTGAGAGTTTATCGCCTTGAATTGGACAAATTTATAGATTTTGAAATTTTGAATTCTGAATAAAAATTATTAATTGGAACCATGCGTATCTAACTGATAATAAACCTAATTACATTTTCTCACAAAATAAAGTCCTTCATAATTTGTCTATAACACGATTTTTGTGCTCTTTTCTTTGTTATGCAGTGAGTGGCGTCAATTTTATAAAGTTGGGAGGCACAAGTGCTAAAAAGCTTTGCTCTGATTTTCTTCTTAATTCAACTTCATCTTTGTATAAACTTTTACAGCTTTTACAAAAATTCAAATGAATCGATTTTGGGGAATAAGATTTTTTAAATGCCGATATTTTAATTTATTACTAAATTACGCGAAGCTAACCGACAACGCGGAGATGAATGTCTCTGGAGGAAATTTGTCCTTGTCTGCCCTTCGCGTGGCAGGTGAGGATCCCTTCGTCCGTTTTCTGAAGGTGCTCCAAAATCAGCGTTCCGTTCGGGTAGACGCGCTGCATTCTCGTCACGGGGAGAAGACTGCCGCCTAAGGTGTGCGAAAAGTTAAATGTACCCTGGTATTCACTACGGATTCACGTTTCAAAATTTTAGAAACTAAATTCGTGTTTCGTTTCCTGCGGGTCATGGGTACATTTCTTGAATTGTGAAGCAAGAAACGCAAGAAATACAGGGTGGAAATTTAAAAAAATTTAAATGTATCGTAAATACGCCGTTTTAGGAAAGTTTAGAATTATACTTATTGATTAATATTTACAGATCCTGAGTGACTCTTTTCACAATTATTTTCCACCTCGATAATGGTAAAGATAAAGTTAAACTTGCATGCAAACCGTATTATTTTATTAATTTTCAATTACCTCTCTCCCAAGAAATGCTTTCGATCGGATATCCTGAGACGGGACACTGGATTTGCAAATTCTTCCCTGCCACGCCCTTTATCGGAGGAACCGGTCGGACGAAAGGTGGACCTGAAAGAGCAAGCATGGCATAAAAAATATTACAACTTTAGTCAAAACTTTGAAACGTTTATCACACACAATTGCCGACAAGTTTGATTTTGGCGGCAAATAATCGTTACGAACGAGGTGATACTTTATTTTGTTACAAATTTAGACAATGGTTCCCTTAAATGCCCCATTATTTAGGGGAAACTACTTTCTCTCACAGAAATAACACCACATTTTCACAACCACAAAATTACTCCTCCATTTTTTATTACTTTCCCCTCGATCGAGATAAAAAGTAAAATGAGTGATGCAATAAAATAAACTGGTTTACACAAAAATGAGATAAATCGCCCGAAAAAAAGGACGCGTTAAGAACAAAACTAAAATACAACATGGGGAACGTTGAGGTTGAAGAAACATTTAATGAAATGCGACACAAGAAGAAAAAAGAAAGTCAAAGTCGAGTAGTCAACTTTCTCCGGGTTTCTTTTCCCTGGTCCCACACACTAAATAAATCTGGGACAAAAATTTGAATTTTGCTGTAAACAAATTATAACCACGCTGGTTACATGATAACATGGCGAGAATACCGGTTATTTAATTTTCTGTCTTATAAAAGTGTACATTTAGTTCATAAAAAAATACACCTGTTCCTCAATTGTTTCAATCTAATTTTTTTTGTACTTGTAAACAAATCCTGCCAGTTAACTTCTCAGTTTTTTTGTCTCGATTTTTCAACGAACTTTACATACACTTCATACTGGCCTACTTTTTCAGATTATTTAGAGTGCCCGAAACTGATCCAGCTTATTTAAATGGGCAATAAATCATTTCTGAAAACCTTTCTCTTTTCACTTTCTCCTCGAAAATGCACTAAATCCACTCGAACAAGGAGTACTTTTCCTCCTAAGACGGGACATTATTTTACTGCTCACACTTTCTCTCCCCGGAGAAAGTGCGGACTTTCTCCCACGACACGAGTTCCCAGTGAAAGTGAACAAGAGGGTCAACTGCCACTTTTACTGCGAGCACTTCCCCCGACTTTATTTTACACTAAATGTCATAACAAATATGATAAATTGGAGATGATGCGGTCTGATTTGTGTTCGTGTGGGGAAAGGATTTCGCTACGAGGGAACATTGTTCTTGTATGTGGTAAAAATAAAATATGCAAAATTTACAAGGTTTTTTTTTGAGGGGGTGATGTTTAGGGGAGAATAATGAATTTTTTTGATGGAGGGATGAGGGGAGATATTTAAAATGGAACCAGAGGTCAACGCCGACGAATTTGTCGGCAGCGGCGGCACCAATTTTAGAAAATTTTTCGGCGGCGTGGCGGCGCGGCGCGGCGCAGTAGGTTGTTTGTATAGGAAATAAGATTTATCGGCGATTTATTTATCTCACTTCACAAATAACAATTCTTCAAAGGGAGAGTCCATAAATCACGTGATCGATTATCACGGGGGGGGGGCAGATGGTCAGATGTCACGTGACATGAGTAAAGTTTTTTTTTAACTTTTGTATATGTCAATAAATGATAAATGTCATGAGAGTTATGTATAAACTCTCTTGGCATACCACACGTTATATAAATTTGATTTTCATTTTGCATATTTAGAAACTTGCTTCGACTTAAATTCTTGGCGCATTAAATAGTTATTTACACATGTGTGTAATGTAGCTCTAATTTGATTAATGATTTAAAAACTATTGTTATTCCGGACAACATGATTTAATTTGAGCATCATCTCCTGTCACGTGACCGGTGGGGGGGGGTAGCGAAATTATCACCACCGGTCACCAAGGGGGGGGGGAGGGGGTCAAAATTGTCCAAAAATCGATCACGTGATTTATGGACGCTCCCAAAACTGTTGATGGAATTTACCGCGTAAAGTTATTTCGAAACATGCGAGTGAATTGCAATAATTACGCAAAGGACATGAAATATTACCGAAATTAGGATAATAAATAGCACTTTAATACATTTTTAAATTCCTTTTTCAACTTTTTACCAAGTTTCAAAGATATGTAGTCTTAATTTATTTCCCTGATTTCCTTACCGTAAATGTTGAGTCTTCCGGTGTGGAGGGCGATGCCCATGGCGTTTCTGGCTTGGCATGCGTACAGCCCGCCGTCCTCGTCCCGCGCGTGCGTTATGTTCACGTGGGAGATCACATTGTCATGAATCGTGACGTACTGGCCGACCAAAAATCTGTAAGAAATTGGCCAAAAAATAATCACAACTTTCAAAAAATTACGAAAATGTGCGTATGTCGAGTGAAGTTCAAAGATATAAATCTGTATCAAGTGCTGGAGGAAAAATACTTCAGAAATTTTGAAACCCATAAAATTAGTACTTGCAAAACAATTTTGTGAAGATTAGAAATTTTATGAGAAGCTATGGAATTATCAGAATTTCTTATGAAAATACCATCAAATGCAAAGAGATGTAGATTTGTGAAATGATTTGAACGAAAGAAAATTAAAAAAAACAAGTGTCGTTAAATCATGCATTATTTTGCTAAAATTATACAAAAAAAATAAATAAAAAAAACATCGTCGTTGATTTACTTTTACAACGACTGAAGGTTGTTGAAATTTGAATTTTAAAATTTAATTTTGAAAATTAGAACGCGGTGAAGGCATAGGGATTATAGGAGTTTAAGTAAACATCGTGAAGTAAAAAAACTACCATTTTTTACCTTCAAACATCAAATCTACAGATCATATCAATAATACATGAACTTTTGAAAAATCAAAGACGACGTTATTTTCATTCATTATTTTCTAAAATTAAAAAAAAATGAAGCAAACATTGAATTCAATTTCGAACGATTGACCATTCTAAAAAATTATAGTGAATGTAAAATTTGTTTCGAAGAATTTACGCATACAAGACAAACAATTGAATCAATGGTAACTTTGTAGAATCCGAAAATTTACAAACTTTAATAAATTTTTACAAATATTTCTAAAATAAGATTACAAATTTTTTAAACTTACTCTGATCAATGGCAACTATTCGTTTTGTAAATGTTTTCGACATATTTTTTCATTTTACATTTTATGTATTTTTCATTTTGTGGATTGTACAAAGATGCCAATGACTGTCGAATACTGTTGCATACTGACTGATGCGGGTTGCAAAGTACGAGTTCTTTACTAAAATTCTGAAAATTGGAATTCTGGAGAGTTGGATAAATTTAAAGACTTTTCAAATCTTAAGGAATAATCCTGCCTAAATGTTAGTCTGTCATTTGAAGAGCTAATGGAATCTTAAATTTCAGAAGTAAATAAAATGTTCCAACAAAATTCAACATGGCATTAACATTTGTCAATCCCACAATTTTTCACTCTCGCACCATTGTAACCCTCAATTTATGTAAATTTATATAATCGTGGGACAAATTTCGAATTTCGAATGTCTCATTGTAAGTAACTAATATCCAATTACACAAGAGAACTTTTTGTGTATACGTAATTTTCAAACTCTACAAAATTATAACAAGTAGGACAAAATTGTTTTCTACAGAATCATATTCCGCAATTCACGCAGGCCTTGGCAACTTTGTAAAATCCATAAATTTTGTAAAATGGTTTTACTGACTTTTACAAAATAAAGAAACCACCTTAATCTAAGCAAACTTAACAATATTTGTAAAAATTTGTACGTTTACAGAAATTACGAAGTTTACAACGCTACCAAGGCCTGCGTGACATCAATAATTGGGCGTAAAGTTCAAATTTAAAAACGTTATCCTTTTTTTTAATTTGAAATTAAAAAATTTAAATTTATGTAATTGACTAAAATTATTACAAACTGTTTATCAAAAATTGTAACTTGTATAATTTGCTTTTAAATATTTGTAAAAGTTTACGGATTTTATAAAGTTACAAAGAACAACACAAATTGGCTCAATAATTTCATCCAGATTAATAATGAAAGGTTTACAAATTTGCTTTCTCGACCCACCTTTCACTTTCTGGCAGTGCGAAGCCGTCCAGAGTCCATGTGAACTGCGGGGGTGGATTTCCGACGGCGGTGCATTTCAGCGACACGGACGGACCTGGCTGGATCGTTTGTTCTGAAAAACGATACACCATCTCGGGCAGGACGGCTGAAAATAAGTGAAAATAAAATTGGGACAAATTTTCTATTTATTAAAATTATAAGAATTGTAGTCTTACATTACAAAAAAAAACAGATTGTACTTTACGCTCAAAAAAATACAGACCAAAAATCTGAGGGGTTATCTTGTAGAGGTTCCTATCATGGAACATATTTGTTTTTAATTTAAACATTTTTCTCTAAATTTTTTTTGAAACAACAGGACGCAGAAATTTTCTGAAATTTAAAGGATTATAGATAAATTTACGCAGAAATTTCACGCGGGGATATTTGTAATTCCGCAAGCTCTGTAAAGTTTCGATTGTTTAGAAATCAAGGTATTGTGAAGTCTATAAATCAAGGGAATTTCTTAAATTAAAAAAAAATTGAACCGGTGACTCACTCAATTGTGTGGTACTTGTGAAGAATCTGCTACTTACAGAAATGACTAAACTGTTGGAATAAACAAAACCTGACGTGGAACATATGCAAAATATAAATCATAAATCCAAACTTGAAATTCTATCAATTACACGTATGTAACCAAGAAAAGTGTGCTAATTATTCTTCGATGGCAGTGCTTAAGTTTGCACAGTTTACTGAATTACAAATATATACGTGAACGTGAAGCGCTTAAAAATCTTGGAATTGGGAAGCTTCTCATGTACGAAAAATAAATTTCTCATGTATGAAATTGAAATTGAAATTTTAGAAACTTTCTAGCTTCAATTAACATATATCAAATTAATGACTAGAAACACCTGAAATATTTCTAACAAATTCGAAACTGAGCGCCATCCTTACATCCTAATCGTATCTGGGAGGAGTCCTGGCCCGTCGTGAAGTCATTGGAGGCGAGGCACTGGTACATCCCCGCGTCCTCGGGCTGAACACGCACCAATTTCAAGACTTCGCGTGGCCCCACTTCGAACCTGGGGGAGGAGCTGGGCCCGCTTTCCAGCTCGGCGAGGGGCACGCCGTCCTTGAACCAGACGAGCGAATGGATCGGCAAACCGGAAACGAGACATCGGAGCGAAGCGGATCGCCCCACGTCAACAATTTGCGTCGGCGGAGACACTTGCACGCGGAGGGGAACTGCAAAAAAAAATTCGTAATTTGTTAGAAAATTGGTGTCAAGAATTATATAGCATTTTTTCAAATTATGTTCGAAAATTTAAAACTTCCATTATGCGATAAGTTAAACTTGTATTGTATGTAATAAGGATTTATTATTGGTAAAATTTGCAAATTTTGAAATTTTATAAACTTGATAAAACCGTGCCAGAAATGACAACGAGATTGGTTTGCTTTAAGTTTTTGAAAAATTTGTATAGTCTGAAGGCCTAAAATTTAATTTTTTTGAATAATGGTTTATTCACAAATTGTGCAGATTAGATACGCCAGGGCAGAAATTTGCATTAAAAGAGAAGAGAACGTGCCATACAGTTGAAAAGTGTTATTCGTAAAGTACGTACTAGTAGATTTGACAGATATCCGGGGATATTTGCATTATACTAAAATTGAGCAAGATATGTACTGAGCGGGTGGAGCTTAGCTTGTGAAAAAGCAGTGTTGCGCCTCAGTTCTCCCTGTTATGTGAAGCCAATACTGCTTTTTCACGAGCTAAGCTCCTCCCGCACAGTACACATCTTGCTCAATTTTAGTATAAAAGAAGGGAAAGCGCGCCATAGTAGTTGGTAGTGGCAAATTTTACGTTTTCCCAATTTATTGCGAGTTTTCTCCTCTTTGGATGCAATTGCAAATATCTCTCCCCATGCAGTCTGAGCATTGGGATATCGTGTCGTTTGCAAATTCATATCGATCAAATTTGTGATCGATTTACACGAATTTGGGCAAAGTCGGAGAGCAAACGCTGGGAGACCTCCATTGTAAGCGTGCCATTTTATTGTCTCACTTTTCCCCTCGCCTATGCACCATAAAAGTTGTGTAATAATAAAGTCATAAATTAGGCTAGTACTACCTCGTAAACTACTCTTCGTCACACACTTGACGGCTTTCTCGCCTTGTGAAAGGACTTTTACTTTGGACAGGACAGCGAACACGTAAATCCATCAATCAGTCCATTCAGCGAGACATCCATCGAAAAACGGAGAAAGTCGTGTCGTTCAAGCGAAACCTTGCAGTCGGTACAGGTTCGCACAGCCCGAGCCAGGATTTATTGCTGATACTTGACTAAATATTTGTATATTGATAAGAAGCTTGTAAATATTTAAAATATTTCAATTTAAATTTAAAATATTTCAATTTAATTAAAAATGGAACTCTATGGGCCATGCCCTAGAAGGGTTGAGAAATAAATTACATACATACATACAAGAAGCTTGTAAATGGTCACGATAAAGCTAACCCGCATTATCCGATTTACCAAGTAATCACCAAATGGTGGCAGTAATGACACACCAAATTCAAACTTGTTACCCCCGGTATAATAAGTTTGAATTTGCCGTGAATAATATTTGGGGTAAAAAAAACAGATTTTTGTGTAATTTAATCGGAGAAGATTCTGTCTCAGGGTCAACTTTCGAGTAAAAATTGTGAATTTTCCCCAAAACTAACTTACATAATGGGATATTTTTATTTTACTGTTTTTTCGATTTTTGTTCGAAAATCGTCAAAAAATAATAATCCGAGCAAAATAATCAATAGCTTAGCACGTTACAAAGTCCAAACCTGCTATCTCATTCGATTAGACCAAATCGCCACAAAACCTATAGAATCTATTTTAAGCATAAATTAGTCTTAATTTTTCAAATGTTTCTGAAAAGGTGTTGAAATCCAACATTTGATAAGGTAAGATTGGATTAGGATTTACTTTATTCAGAGTTGATTCTCATTTTACAATTGGTTGTATATATTTAGTTAAAGAAGAAACCCAGGTGTTTTTCTTAGTGAGGCAAATACCTAACAACGAAAAAAATGCTAAGTATGCATTTGACCCTCCCTTAAAAAGTGACACCATCCAATATCTCGGCCATTTCTGAACCGATTTTGATGAAATTTTCCACCGATCGTTGTTAGACAATTTAAAAACGATGTGCGAGTCGCCTTTTCAAATTTTAGTTTTTTGAGAGAGTTATTAGCAAAAATACGCGAAAATTTGCCCCTGAATGAACATATATTTTTATTGTTCATTACTGGGCCATCCAAACATGTTGGCTTATTGGAAACAGTTTAGACAAAGTCATCCCGGTCATTTTGAGACCAAGATTATCCAAATCCGTTAGGAACTGAGAAAGTTATTCAAATTTGAAATCCAAAAATAGGCATTTTTTTAGTGACTTAAATACCTGGCAACAAAAATGACTATTTATGCATTTACCCCAACCCGAAAACTCACAGAAATAATTCGATATCTCACTCATTTCTCAGCCGATTTTAATCAGCATCGATTATTCTTACGAAATTTAGAAATGATCTACAAACTTGTGTGGTGAGTTTATAATGTTTATTGGGGTACAATATGCTTTGGAAACATTTGGTTTTTAGTTAATTAATAGAACATCTTATCAATTTATCGTATCCCCAACATTTTAGTTATCTTTCTTGATTAATACCGGCTATGAAATCTAGAAATTATTAAATTTAGAAAACATTGAAATTTTTGCAACGACGCAAAGTATTAAAGTCGTTGACAACAAATGTTCCAATTAGCTCTAATTTTAAGGAATATGTGGTGCTTATACATACAAGAACTCAATTGCAAGTATTAAATAAACAAGGTCCCAAAAAAGGGAAATCTTAGTGAGGCTTGGTACAACTACAACTAATAAATAAAATTAGATTTAAGAATTTTTGCATCACCGCTCTCGGTACCGTTATTTGTGGGTCCAATCTAAATTTTGCTTTGCATACGCATGAATTCTTACATTTATTAAATTAATTGAGATTTTAAGAAGACGTCTTTACTCTAATAAGTTTGTAAGCGAGAAGTTTGGTGACTAACTGAGATCAAATATAACGGCTAACCAATTGTGAACAACGAATATTTAAGTTTACAAGAAGTTGTAAGTCTGAGATCACAAAACCTTTTGAGGGGAGTCACTTATTCTAAATGATTAATTTATGCTTCCCGTAAAGAATAGTATCGAGAGCGGTGATACAAAAATTCTGAAATCCAATTTCATTTATTAGTTGTAGTTGTACCAAGCCTCACTAAGATTTCCCTTTTTTGGGACCTTGTTTATTACCCCAGTAATTGTTTACCCTTTTTTGTGGTCCAATTTATTTCCGCAAAAAATCTCGTCTCATATATTTACTAAATATATGCATAATTAATTTTGAAAAACTACCTAAAAGATTTACGTCTTTCTCAAATATAAAAGCAGAAATATTTATGTTTCTGACAACCTTGAAATATTAAAAAATAATTTGAAATTTTTGTGCTAGTTAGGGCACACACCCACAAATTCAAGAAATACGTCCTCTTGGTTGTACCCACCCAAAATTGCACATTTCGAATTTCCCCGCATTTCCTTTGCGTTTTTCTTTGTAAATTGACGACCAGTTATGAAGGTCGTTAAAGCCCCGACTGTTTTTATGAGCAAATTGTGCAAAAATCAACTATTGTATGAAAATATAAATATGAGTACGGTAAAATAAATTCAATTTTCCAGCAAATTCATCCTAAGGATAAAATGTCTTACCCATCTGCCATTATCAGTTAGGTTTTTAAACATTTGAAAAAACTAAAACCGGCATTTAAAACTAACGGACCACAGACAGACAGACAGTCCCGCCGGTTACACAAGGCCTATCTCCGACAAAACGGAGAAAGTGAAAGGGAGTTCATTTCATTTTGGTAAAAATATGGGACCCTCGGGTCTACTTTCACTTCATCTCGAAACAAATTTATTTCTACAATAAAACCATTTCTGTCCTGTTCCACTTTCACTTTGACTTTCTCTCCCACTTCGAATCCCACTTCGACTCGGATTGATTCTTCTTTTGACTTATTTTCAGCTAGAAATTTCACTTACTAGTCGAGAAAGACATTTGTTAAGCTTTTTTGTTAAGATAAGATTGTGTAATGGATGTTGTGATTGTGAAATTTGACGAAATTAGCAATTTTTCAAGGATTCTTTTTCGTCCTGAACTTTTTTACGAAAGTGATTCTAGAGAAATTGTACATAACTTGTAAAATAAAGACGACCTTTTTTTAAAATGGCCCACATTTTAGAAATTCGCCCTAAAAATCAACCAATTAAAAGTTAGTTGGTAAGATTCAGAGAGTAAAATTCTGTCAATAGATTTACTCTCAACGATAAGAAAAGTTGCAAAATTAATCGTGATCAACAAATTTTTCTATGATTACGAATTTAAAACGTAAAAATATAAACTTTCCTCTAAGCATATCGTTGCTACTTACTTTTTTTTCACGATACAACCCTCGAAGGCATCACTCTCATTAATGCTATTAATGCGAAATGAGCAACAGGTGTCCAGTACGAAATTTAATCAAAATTTATGACCATTTTTATCCGGTGTGTTTGAATTTAGTATTTATTTTTTCAAAATAATTTGCAACGGTGTGTCCAATACGCAACTTTCAGGACAATTTATTTATTACCAGTTAGATTTGCTTACCGTAAACGACGAGTTGAACGACGGCTTGGTCGACAGAGTGGGAATTGTTAGCGCGGCAGAGGTACGAGCCCGCGTCCTGGGGTCGGACTTGGGCCACGTGGACCACGCTATTCTGCGGGGAGGAAGACGGTGACGACGACGGCGGCCTTTTCGACGTGGGAGCAAGGTCGGATAAAACACCGTCGATTTCCCGATGCCACCTGAAATTTAGTAATAAATACGAGAAACTTAAATTTGTTTTAGTTCAGACAAAATTTTGTAAAAAGCGTTATATTTTTCAACTAAATTTTTAAAAAATATAATAATTATACTTTTTAAAATTATACAATTATTGTATAATTTTTAAAATAATTCAAACTTCACCAGACTTGTTTTACATCCAAGTAAAATTAGTTCTAAACTAGAAATCATGTTTTTAAAGTTGTGACGTTATTGTTGCTCAAAATTAGTTCGAAGTCAAGCCAGAACTTTACAAAAACAGACCCGGTTTTTCGGAAATTTTCTATTTCTCTACTGGAGTTTTCATACGTTAACTTGGAAAAGGAAGAATTTAGAGTTTTTGAGAAAGTAGAAAAGTTGTTGTTTGTTACAATAATTATAAAATTACTAATTTTGTAACTTTAATTTTGCTATTTTCTGGTTAAGGATCTAATTCTTTTGAAATTTTAAGTTCTTAAATAACAACTCGCAAGTAATTGATCTTGTTGTCTTTTAGTTAAAAATTTGTAAGTGCGCAGATCAAATTATGGATATTATTTTGATCATGACATACACAAAACTGCATTATTATTGTTTAATTGTATAACTTCACAGTCATTAAGACGTAATTTACAAAATTAAATTTTTCAACATTTCGTAAACAGATCATACATTGATGTTATGTCGCCATAAATGGATTATGGTTATGTCAAAGCAACTGAAAAACATTCCCAAATAAATTACAACTTGTAATCAATTTATGTAGCGTTTACACATCTGGTAATTTTCGCTTTAGGATTTCTATCCGACAAATCATTACTTTGTATAACTAAATTTATTCGTCTTCAGGTGGGTATCACTCTCAAAAGTAGTAAAAGTAGAAAGTTTGAATTATAATTCTTCCCAATCTTACTTGCAAGTTTAAAAAATTAAAAAAATTGCTTCAGGGAGATTGCAGACTTGCAAAGTTAAAGGATAAGTGAAGAAAAGCTTGCCAAATATGTGCATACTTTTTCCTACGATTTTTGTAAATCGTAAATTATATTTCAACATAACGAAAATTCTTGAAACCTCTGGGCAATTATTTTGCTTAACTATTTTCTTTTGGAAGTGTACACACAAACTTGTTCTGAAATTTTTGACATATTTATCCCCTCAAAAAAAACTAAATCCCACTGAAACCAATTTCATTTGCCATTTACAATTTTAAACTGGGTCAACAAATCTGTTCACTCAAATCCGCTTCACGTCAATCATAGTACTTAAGTACCTGCTCAGAAAAGCAATCTCTGCATTTTTTCTGGAAAACTGGAGAATATTCTTGCATCTTATGCAAATTACGGGGGAACAACTTCCCACAAATCTCTGCTAAAAATATAATAGATACTTCTTTCTGTATTTTCATTTCATTCGTATTCTGAAGGAGATCTTAAATAAATCATGCATCAAACGAATTTTACTTGCGACATGTGCATAAATTTTTAGCGGAAATAAAAAATTATGTAAACAAATTGTTATATAAGTTTAATTGTTTTGAATTTAACTTGCATAATTTTATTATCATGATTTCAAGTATAAATTGTAATGATCAAGGAAAAATTGTGAGTTATTTGTGGAAGCAGAACGCCGTGAATATATATACGGATTATTTTACGTCTGTAACCAATAAAAGATACGACATCAGAATGAAGGCATTTTGAGTTGTGTAAAGATAATAATTTGTAGTTTTTTAATTTTGATTCAGTAATTGATGGTTCAAGATTTTTTGTACTGGTATCACTTGAAAACTCCAGGCTTGCATTTTTGTAGGTTTCAAAATAAAGGATACACAATCATAAAAAACAGGTTTTAAAAAATTGTGCAAATTTAATTTACAGGATTATAATGCGTATTTAATCTATTTTACTTAAATTCTTAACTTCTCAACTTGCTTAATTCTTAGCAGAATAATTTAATTTAAAAAAACATTTAATATTTATAATTAGGTTAATTAATAAGCTATGATTAAATGGGAGGTTCTTACGAAAAAGACGGTGGCGGGTTTCCCTCCGCGTGACAGGAAAGGTACGTTTCTTCACCGGCGCGAACGCGTAAATTTGTCTCCCTTTGTCCCAATATTCGCACCGCTTGTGGTCCCTCAGGTTCTAGAGAAAGTGAAAAAAAAGTTTGTATAGCATAAAGCGTAATAATTCATCACTGGAAAATGATCCAAATTCCCGGGAAGTTTGAATTCCGTTCGTTCGAAATTAATTTGCAGAATTTTCACGATTTTCTCGCAGTATTCACCAATAAAGAAACTTTATACGAAATCATCTGAAAGATTGCTAAGGGACAAAGGTGTTTCTGTGGCCTTAATTTTGACCATGTTGCCAGCATGGAGGATTTGTGAAATCTCTTTTAAAAAATCGTACAAGTCTTCTTCTTCATTTTTATGTATGTCTCAGAAATCCTCCATGTTGGCATCGATGTGAAAATCACATCCGAAGTGGGTAGGTTTTAACAAAATCTACAGTACTCAAGACCAAAAATACCAATTTATGGTAACTATATTAACATATTTGAATTTTATTTTATTATCGTGACGATAAAATTAGCCCGAGCCAGGACTTTTGGAACCGTCGTGTCCGTCCTTCTGTCTGTATGTCAGGTTTATGATAACTCTCGTAACCTTTTCCTATCGACTTGAAATTTGGTACACATGTAGTATGGGGGCAGATAGTGAGTTCAAGTTCGAAGATGAGCAAATCGGTTAACTGGTTTACCGGTGGGGGTCATCCGAGTGGGTGGGGTATTATGCACCAAAATTTCAAAGTTGTCGTATAAAGCTGAAATTTGGTACAGAGGTTGCTAATGGTTCCTAAAAGATAAAAATGACTTCAAGTTGGAAAAATTTTCAATTTGAGGGACCCTATGGGGACCCTATGGAGCGACCCATACCGATTTTGAGAAATTGCTTTAAAAACATGAAATCCAGCACGGTGATACTTAATATCTTACCACGAAAGAATGTGAAGTTAAAAGTGAGCAAATGTGAGCAAGTGAAACCAGAGTGACCCTGGAGGGTGACCCATACTGTTTTTAAAAGTTGTTATTTCCATCTGAAATTTGGTATTGGGGATAAAAACTACTTCTGGATAGCACACAGCTTTGGAAGTTCAAGATGTTAAGGGATTTGACGCCAAGTAATAGAAAATCTAACATACATTTAACTATCCACAACACTGAGTTTGTTAATATTATGTCGGTCAATTCGGAGAAAAATTTAGAACTCTGACTCAGGCTATATGTAGTAATGTAGTCTGCACTGTAGGTTTTTAAATTACGTCTGTCTGCGTACGAAATACAACTTTGGATGTTCAAGATCTTAAGGAAGCGAGCCCCACGGGTGCTGGTAGGAAAGGGGGCAGATTTCAATAATTTAAAAGCGAGCTCTGTCCCCAACTACTGTCAACTGTTCAGCCGATATTAATAGTCTGAAAAAATCTTTCCTGGCAGATAATTTACGTTATTTTCCAAATACCAAATAACCTCTCAGAAAAATTTCCAAGGAATTGAGACTATTAATACAGGCTGAACATTAGGACTGAATGAGGTCTGCACTGTAGTTTTTTTATAATTAATATTACTGGTAAATACTATATGAAAAGACATTTGAAAAGAGATTTTGAAATTAGGAGAAATATAACTAACTCGGCTCGGGCTATGTCAGGTTCACACTTGATCAAAATTAAATTGTTACAAATCGGCTCGTGGCAACAAAAAAAAATTGGTGGTGCAGGGCCCAGGAAAATTGCTTATCCCTTAATAATCTTTAAGATTCTATTAAAAAATTTATTTTCCCTTCAAGACATCTTGTTGGGGAAGAAACGAAAGAATTTCGTACATATTGCTTCATTAAATTTTTGAACAAAGCTATAGGTTAAAAGTTTCCCAGCACTATTATAAATAGTTAAATATGTACATATATACTTAATTAAATAGTTAAGTATATTAGTTTGAACATATCTATATGTTCATTTTAACTTCTTAATAAGGATTAAGATATTTAAATGGATTTATTTTATATTTTGTGCAAAGATTTTGTAAAAAAAAATCATCCTAAATATTCGTCTATTAGATTTTATTTATTTGTATCTCTGATCAAACGTAAGGTTAGTTTAAATTTTTGAAACAAGATTACTTCACGTTGTCGATTTGCACTTTGACGTAAGTCCAAGTTTGCACGAATCTTACGAAATATTTGCGATTTATAATCGTTATAACCCCCAAAGTTTTATTTGTTTTGGGTAATAATTTGGATTTCAAGGTCTGCTGTGTCCATCGTTCCTTTATTAAAATCCAGTCATGCCTATCCAACGACTATTCTGGGAACGTCATGTCACTCCATGTTTTCATCCGTCCTCCCTAAAAACTCACTTTCTCCTCTGGAACAAGGTAACCCTGTCACGTGGACAACCTGGATTTCGATAATTGGGCACATTTTCTTGTACATAGGAAATAAAGTATAAACTTATTCCCACTAAAAAAAATCCCCGTCTTCCCCCCGGCGAACGTCCCTTCTCCGTAAAGTCGTCCCAACACGACTCAAACGAAAACGAGTCAAAATGAACATGAACCAACAATTCGATTGCAATTCTTTCTCCTTCAACAATCCAATTTTATCTCAGATCACGTCCCGCCGCCAACTTCTCCTCCTCGCTCGCCCAACTTTTTCTACTTCTTCCGGTGAAAGTAAGTATACGACAAAAAGTTGCATCTTATTTCATTTCACGCTGCAGTGCCGTCCACTCCACGAGGAATCCTTATCCTCTCGTGCGAACAGAATTTCAAATTTTTTTCCCAAAAATCAGTTTTTTTCAGACATTTCGAAATTGTCTCGTCCCCATATTTCTGGGAATGCTTAACTTTCACTCAAAACGTAGAAAGTAACGGTCCGCATGTAAATGAGGGGGAAAAATAGGAGGAAAACTTGTAAAAAATAAATAAGCTTCATTTTCTTTCGATACAATTTTATTTTCGAAAGGTGGAGAAAGTCGGGATCATTTTGATTCGAGAATCATGAAGAACAAAGCCTGTCCGTTTTTGGGAGAAAGGTTTTACCCACTCCGAATGGAGGTCTCCCAGCGGATGCTCTCAGATTTTGAGCAAACTGGTGTCAATCGATTATAAATTTAGTTAGGATAAAATTTGCGAAAGACACTCCGAATAGGCAAGTTTGTCAGAGATATTTGCATCCGAAGAAGAGAAAACGTGTCATGAAGTTGACAAATTTTGCATACACAATTTGATCGAAATTTCTCAGTAAATTTCGAAACTGCAATTTCAGGAATTTGAGATTTGGAAAATATTATATATGGCAAAGCTTTTCGATTCGGGGGAGATATTTGCATCCGAAGAGGAGAAGAAGCACGCTAAACTTGGAAAGTGTACAATTCGCCAACTTTTGGGCGCGTTTTCTCCTCCTCGGATGCAAATATCTCAGCCATACATGCCCATTGGTAGATCGTGTGTTTTACTAATTTCATCCTAATTAAATTTGTTATCGATTGACTCTTTTTTGCTAAAAATCGGGGAGCACCCGCTTGGAGGCCTCCAGTGTCACAAGTTTTATGATATTCAATACTTTCACCAGATCCTACTTCGACTTGTCAGTCGTATCAGTCAAGTTGGGAGAAGGTCGAGAAGAGTTTTGCTCCCTTTTCCAACTTTCTCCTAGTTTTTAGTGTAGGATTGGATGGTATTTAGCTATGAGAAGATGCATATTTGAAGGGAGACGAGGTATGGATGGCTGGATGGATGGGTGATGGATTGCAGGAGAAAGAGATGCAATGCGATGCGGGGGAAAGTTAGCCAACAATGGAAAAGTATTGAGGAAAAGGGGACAATGTTGACTAAATGGGAAAAGTAGGGTGCCAATGGTAACGTAGGGGTGTTGTCAAAGTTTGAGCATTTTTGGAGATAATTTGCCTAAATAATTTTTGCATGATTTCTGTGAAATTTGGAAATTTTATATAAATTGTAACAAATTACTATTTACACAAATTTCGCTAAAAATTTCAAATTTATTGAATTGCGTGAGGTCGATTTTCACTTGGTGATTGAGATTGACCGGTTTAACGTAAATTATAATGAAACGAAAAGGCTATCTTTCATGAAACTAGTTAAATAGGAATCATAAAGTTTCTTAAAACGGCGTTTTTATGGTACAGTTTTAAAATGTTACAAATTGTTATCAAAATAAAATTTTCAAATGATAATACTTATAATGTAACCAGTCAATATTTTTCTTTGTGAATAAAATCGAGTAAAAGAATTATAACTTTCTAGAATTATTACCCTATTTAAACCGTGTTTACGTTTTTATTCGAAAAATAAATGTTCATTGATTTGTAAATTTTGTAATTTTGAAGTTTTATTGGGATAGAAATTTAAACGTGCTTTAAAATGTATAAAAAATACGTCGTTTTGAGAAACTGTAATTTAACCTGTTTTAATTAATATTTATAGATCGAAAATATCCTCGATTTTGATTAAAAACACATTTTTATTTACATTTTAGAAAACACGCATTGCAAATTTTGTGATTTTATTAGGACAGAAATTTAAGGCTCTACTTCATTTTCATAGAGTGTTAGTCTCACTCAACCCGTGCTCAATGTCTTTAAATGTAATTTCTAAAATCGCATCAAGTTCATGAGTGTTGAGATAAATGGGACTTTTGATATTTTAATGTAAAGCTAATTTTTGGTACTACAAAACCTTGGTGTTTTGAAAAATTAGAAAATTCATTTTTGAAAAAAATTAGTGTGCAAAAATAGCAAATGAATTTTCTAATTTTTCAAAACACCAAGGTTTTGTAGTACCAAAAATTAGCTTTACATTAAAATATCAAAAGTCCCATTTATCTCAACACTCATGAACTTGATGCGATTTTAGAAATTACATTTAAAGACATTAAACACGTGCTGAGTGAGACTGCGCGCGAACGCGTCATCCACAACAGTCTTAAACGTTTTCTTAAATGGATAACAAAATACCGTTTTGAGAAACTTTACAATTCCGTCGTACTTAATTTGTTAATTTACAGATAAATAAAAAATTAACAGATCTTGGAATTTGCCTCCTCTTTACCCTGACTTATTTA